TCTCGTAAATCAGTTTCATTTCCTTTTTCTACAATTTCCTTCAGAGCTTTATCAGTATAAACATTTTTGTGTTTAGCCTTAAAAGAGTCTGAGATTTCTCAGACTAATTTCAGTACTTTCTACCCAATTATACAGTGTTTTGCTGAATGAAAATGAAAGTTTCGTTTAAGCATTGACTGATTAAAAAAATGAGAGTACTTTCTATGTAGACGCTTTAATGGCGTTTATGTTATCACTAGACATTTTTTAGTTTAAACATGTACGTATATATATATATATTCATATTATTGTTTAAGTTAGTCACTTATCTTTTCCCTTTTTTTCAATTCTCAGGAGTAAACGTACGGGAACTAAATTAAGGATGGCAGTTTAGCTGAAAAACGTTGGATTCGCATATTTATCAAGACTGTCGGCGTGAATTGCTGAAAATGCTATGATCGAGATGAACGAGTCATCGAGGCGCTGGGAAGCCAAACAATTGCAGTGAACTCGGTTTAAGCGATATTTGGATGAATTCTGTTTACAATGGATAATTTTATAATAAAAATGATTGGTATTAGCCATGATATGAGCCATGATTTAAGGCTTTTTAAAGAAACTTCCTGCTCCAAGCTTAATCTAAATTTCATCTCGTTTCTCTCTTGCCCTATTCTGGGGGCTCTACAAAGAGATGCTCAAGGCAATTGATTTTCTGAGTTTCCAAATGGTTGCTCTGTTTTTGAACTTAGCCAACATTGGCATTACTCCTGACTTTCTCTCCTAGCCCAACACGACATACAATTTTCTACTACCATCTGAATCGATTTTAAAATATCTTGGTCTGTATTTGATTTTAAAGTATCTCTATCGTGACATTTCTCTCAGCTGAATGAGAAATAAACAAATAAAATAAGGAAGTGAGGTCTATAAACAGGGGATGAACGTGACAAGCAAAGACAGCAAATTAGTCCACATTTATCCCAAGCAATTAAAACTCCTCAATAGGATCAGGAATTCCATTGTACGAAGTTATAACACACCAGAGAACTCCTGACCCCGGTTGTTGAAATAAGCACGCGACGTGTGACTGTAAAATCTCCTCTCTGGTTACAGTTTCTTAATTGTGAACTGTGAGAAAATGACAATAAACAATCAAATGATGGACTAATTAATATTCTGTGCCGAAAAAATGCCATATTTGCTGATTTTAGCAAGTCTCCAAAGTAATAAACGACAGAAAAAAGAAACGCTACAGTTTTCCTATCAAAAGTTAGCCTACATGCTTCTCCCTAAACGTTAAATTTTCCATTCCTGCAAAATATCTCGAAAGCTGTGTACATTTCTTAGCTTCCTTAATCAATTGTTTTGTATAAAGAGCTATAAAATATAGTTTTATTTGCTTAAGTGACTGCTTAGCGAGCCAGTATTGCATTGCAGGTATAGTTGAGACAAGCATGTCACAATAGAAAATTTCAAAAGGCATCCAAGACAAAATTATGGCAGTGCCCCAAAATGTTTTTGATGGTTTTTAGAGATGAAATGATGAATTATATGAGGGAATTAAATTATTATTGCAGCTTTCTAAAGAGGGTAGATATTTGACCTAAAAGTTATCAATTATTTGGATGAATCGAAAAGTTAAAAAAAAACAGTCATGTATTTGCCTTGACAAACTGTCAATCAAATTGACTGATACTTGCGTCGTGCATTCACAGATCTAGGATGTAACAATATGTATGCAATCTCTTAGAGTAATCGGTCAAATACCATCGCAGTGAGATATTCATAGAATTAGGTATTTTGAGGCGATTTCCTTGGTGAACCAAGAAAAAACGGGGGATCTATCTCCCCCCGGAAATAACCAAAAAAGAAACCATTTTGTCTGTTTGAGCGTTGGGGTAGGCAAAGTTTCATTGAAATCGGTGAGATGGCATGTAGCATGACTACCTGGTGCTCTCGTGGACACACTCTCGAATCAGCTAAAGGCACCTTTACAGCTCTGTAGGGTGATTTACATCACTTGATATTCATAAGAGTCTCCAATAGGGTTCCTCATCCCGCGATCCCGGCAAAAATTTTCTCTCAATCCTGTAATCTCAATGATTTACACCGGTGAATCCCGATCCCGTTCATAAATTTTTTCTTAGTTCAATATCCCAACTTAAAAGGGCCTACTAGTTAAGTGGTATTCATAACTGCGAGGATCGCTTTCATATTCGTTTCTTCAACCTCAGTTCACATTTAAATGATTTTCATATATTTGCAGTCATTTATTCACCACTTGAAGGGTTTATTTAAAATCAACATAATGACCGGCTCCCTGTTGGCTTGATAGCTCAGTTGGTAGAGTGCTGCACCGGTATCGCAGAGGTGATGGGTTAAAATCCCGTAAGGGCCTAAATTTTTTTTAAGCCTTACTTTCCCTATCAGTTAAGTAACATTCATAACTTCTAGGATCGCTTTAATATTTGTTTCTTCGACCGCAGTTCACATATATATAGTTTTCATAGATTTGCAGTCATTTATTCACTACTTGAAGGGTTTATTTAAAATCAACACAATGACCAGCTCCTATTTGGCTTGTTAGCTCAGTTGGTAGAGCGCTGCACCGGTATCGCAGAGGTGATGGGTTAAAATCCCGTATGGGCCTAAATTTTTTTAAGGCCTTATTTTTACTACTAGTTAAGTAGCATTCATAACTGCTAGGATAGCTTTCATAATCATTTCTTCAACCGCGGTTCATATAGATATGATTTTCATATATTTGCAGTCATTAAATGGGCCTTTTCGGTGGGTGATGATTTTCTTAAGCAGTATTGGTCCGTTGGAGTCTTTGCTCACCGTCAGGCGTAAGTTTTTTTCACCAAAATGATGTTACTGTTCATTTTAGAAGTTTTCGAAGTTTTGCACGAATAACTTACGCTAGTCACAGTCGCGACTTCCTTCTGTTTAACTTCGATCACGGAAAAGCGTATTAGTAAAGACAGGTCATGATCAGTATTAAAAGAACGAATAGCAATGTCAACAAAAGCATAAGAAAACAAAAGGTGATGGCAATCCCATAGTTCCATAACAAGGAAAATAAAGAAAAATTAACCAAACAAAATTCTGCTGTTGAAGTGAATACTTCTTCAGCTCGTTCCAACGATGGAATCTCGCCAACATCACATGCGGTCTCGTCGTCGGCCGATTCTTCATCACTGCTTGGGGGAATCGCATCCCATCTTCCTCTTCGTCTTGTTGCCTGCTTTTTTCTTGCTCCTCCCCGAGGTCAGAGCGTTCAGTTCCTCCAGCTGAATTTCTCTCCGATAGACGTGATCGAACTATACACAAAGAGAAACTGGTTGATAGAACTCTGTCCTAGTTGCCATTCCATCCATATTTCCAGCTCTCTATGATTGAATAAGTGACTTGGTATTGGCCATTGCGGAAACCAAACAGGCGGAATAGAATAACATGAAGCTAAATAGTTCAACGGCACAGTTGAATAAGCAATTTTAATTTGTGTCATTCCATTGTTTAGAAATTTTAAAGTGGTTGAAGCATTTCAAGGACTGAAATTGTTACAAGTTTGTTTAGTTCACCGTATGGTCTATCATTTCACTGAGAATTTCAAATTGCTCGCAGTCATTATCATCAGGAAGCAAAGTCAGATCATTCAAATTATAGAAAACTCTCTCCTTCAACCAGAATTCGAAAACATTTTTGAATCCATTATCTATCAGCAACTCCTTTTTGCATGATTGATCATTGTACGTCTTTGTATAATCTTATACCCAGATTCTACCGTGTAACGGTGACTGCAACTACTGGGAAGTCTGGGTACGAATCTGGTCAATGTTATTAGGGACACTTAGGTAGCAACGCCGAGGAAGACGTCGATTATAAAATGAATTTATATTTTCAGTTATAATTTCGCATATGGCTGAATGTGTTTACCGTCTCTTACGGCGCTACACCACAAGCTCAGAATAACGTATATGAGCAGCATTGAGTTGTAAGTGGAAAATCAGATAATCCGCCGTCGGGGTTTCTGTTCTCAGTCCACACAAATTTTGGTGATTTCAGGCAGCTATTTTTAGGAGGACGGCCAAGAAAAATCAATGGAAAGTTTTCAAACGCTTGTACTGAGCAGTTTTTACGCCCAATAGATTTACCACGTTCTCGTTGCTGGGTTTCCGTAAGGCCCCTACTAAACAGTACACGCTATTTGCATTGGTAATTACTGTCTTTATTTATGCTGAATATGTTTAACTTTCATTTTGGACTTGGATCGCAGCGGTAATATTTTCGTTCGCTCTTATCATTTCCTTTCCAACGCTTTAAAATATTCAAGCTTATCAAACACACCCGAAAAAAAAAAAAAAAAAAAGATTCTGAGTTTTGAAAAGTCAACTATGGAAATTTACTCTGTCGAGGGAAAAGAGTCGTTGACACAAGCTGCAAGGTGAAACAAGGAACATAAATCAGTGTAAAGCTAATCTTTACTAATATGAAGAAGAAGCCTAACTTGTGTTGCAATCGCTGTTAATCACTCCTTTATCTTGGTGATCTTCATTGTGAAATAATAATGTTACTGTAGGCAGATTACAAAAAAAAATGACTCTTCAACATATCATGACGGGTGAAAGTAAACATATGGCGAAGAATTTTACAGTTTCCGTGTGGAAGGAAATTTAACTTCCCAAGCTCGGATCTCCTTGACTTTGGTGCTCTGTGAAGTTGACACTCGGTCTCTTGGTCAAGAGGTCATGTGCATATCCTTTTGGGGGTGTCGTTACGTAACACCCTAGGGTTGCAAGGAGACAACAAGCCGTGATAGGAATGGGCTAACCACATAACACCACAGTTTCCTTAGAAACTTACCGCCGTGATAGGAATGAAAGAGGACAAGACTTTGGCGATTATATTGTTGTTTCGTGAACTTTTTTCACGCAAACCGCAGAATCAACCATCACAACGTAAGGAAGAGAAACAAATCAGATTACAACTTGGAAGAAAACTGAGTCACAATTTTGGCCATGGCTTGCAGAGAAAGGATCGTAATTCCTCTGCCAATTCCAAGTAAACTGCAAGATATGATGTACGCTTTTCGTGAATCCAAAGTGCTATTTGCGGCATGTGATATGGGTGTCTTCGATATCTTGCAAGATTCCGATGCCCCGCAGTCAGTTGAAGACATTTCTTCAAAGATAGGATCTAACGTTGATGCAACAGAGTGCCTAATGAACACTTTGGTTGCAGTGGAATTGCTAGAAAAGAAAAAGCGAGATGGATCGTGGCTGTATTCCAATAGCGTAATAGCAAGGCAGTTCCTTACCAAATCAAGTCCAGATTCCCTCATTGACTATATAAAGCACTCGAATAAAGTGATATATCCCCTCTTCAGTAACTTGGAGAATGCAATTCGCGAAGGATCGAATCAGTGGATGAGAACCTTTGGCCATTCTAAAGAAGATGTCTGGAAAGACGAGTACAGCACGGAGGGTTCCTGTTTACAGTTTCTCTCCGCCATGCATGGCACGTCGCGACGTTTCTGTCACGCTGTGGCGACAGCATTTGACTTAAGCAAGTTGCAAAGCTGTTGTGATTTAGGAGGTAGGTTTAGCAGTAAGACTCAGGATAGCTGAAGAATTCTGGCTTAGGTTATGTTGGGCTGAATGGTTCCTTACAGGCAAATTGTTATTCAGTGTTTCTGATAAGAAGTCAATCAATCACTTTGTGTCGGACTTGCGAATATATTTTTTGCAACGGCAAAAGGAGCTTTCATACGCACAGCACGTGAACAATACTTTTAAAGATATTTGTTTTGTTTTGTTTGTATTTCTGGTTCGGAATAAAGGTGGGCCAGGAACAATGGCATACACTTTATGTCAGTACTACCCAAACATGAAGATCACAGTGTGCGACCTGCAGTCTGTTGTGGACTCTGCACGTCATTTTCGTCCCTCGTTAGAAGATTGCCCTAATCAAGGAAACATATCTTATGTAGTCGGGAATTTCTTCCAAGAAGATCTACCAAAGGCTGAGTTGTACATTTTGTCCCGCATTCTTCATGATTGGTCCGACGAGAAGGCTGACCTAATACTTTCAAATGTTTTTGAGTGTTTGCCTTCAGGTAAGAAATGATATCCTGAGTTTTTCTTCCCGTGTAGAAAATTAAAGGTCTTAATCTAATTCTGATGCAAAAAGTGAAAAAAAAAAAAAAAAAAAAAAAAGATCCGAAAAACAGCAAGAAAGGTGTATATCAAGACTCTGTGGTGTAACGGTAAGATCAGTGGACTTTGTACAGTCCGGGCCAAAGACGGTTTTTGTTTATACCAGTGATATGATTGATCTAGACAAACCCAAAACAAACTGAGTGGCTGAGAGAGGATTGGTACAATACTTTTTCTTCGCTCGCTGTTTCGTGGCGGCCATGTTGTACTGCGAAGGGGACGGCAGAAACAGAAGTAAAAATTTCAAGAGAGACATCACTGGCCTTTTTATTTCTGTATTACTGTTTTACAAATCTAATTTTCAACAGACATGCCATCTCTATTTCTCCACCCCGGTGTGTTTTCCTCGTACACGTATTTTGCTAATAATGTTTTGTAATCAAATTCTATCCTTTCCGGTGAGATATCTAAAAGACATCTTGTGGAAGGTAGCGACCAATGGATTAGCATTTTCACTTCATTCTCATCCGCAACTCGAACATGAATGTTGAAGGAAATGTCTTGTATTTAAAGTAGTTCTTCGGGAATTCTGGGGAAACCACTAACCACCAGCTTTAACCGTCGGTTGTTTGTTTGCTTGATTTGAATGGTGCCCTCTAGCTTTTTCCACACAAGTGCAGTCTTGTTCATGATGAGAGGTCCACAAAAAAGGATCGTTTGGGTCAAAATAACGTTTTGATTGTTTTTTAATTTTCCCGGACTCGTTAAAGTACTCGTTTGCATGTCGAGCAGACCTATTTGTGGAAGGAGCGAAAAAGACAAATGCCTTCACTTGCAGTTTTTGTACGGCATGCGAATTTTTTTATTCCTTAGATCAACCAAAAAACTTTGAAAACTGAGGCTGATCCAAGTCTGTGTGACTCTCCAAAAAAAAAAAAAAAAGAAAAGAAAAAAAAAAGAACAGAAACCTGGCACTTGTTTTAACTAAACCTGGCATTTTGATACCTTAGGCGGCCGTGCCCTTATTATTGAAAGGTTTCCGGATGAAGACAAAATTGGGCCTAAAAGTGCCTTATAACTTCTCTAAATATACGTGTGCAAGTGGACAACCACAAAATCTGGATAATTGGGGTTGATCCAAGTCTTTGCGACTCTCAAAAAAAAAAAAAAAAAGAAAAACAAAAAAAGAACAGACAGCTGGTACTTGTTTTAAATTGAACCTTGCATTTTGATATCTTAGGCGGCCGTGTCCTTATTGCTGAAAGGTTCCTGGATGAAGACAAAATTGGGCCTAAAAGTACTCTTTTAACTTCTCTAAATATGCTTGTGCAAGTGGATGGCAAGGAACGAACACGAGATGAATACAGAAAGCTTTTAGAAAAGCAGGGATTTGTCGATATTCAGGCAAAACAGCTTGACTCCTCTGAAGGGTCAGATGCTATTTTATGTCGGAAGGCTTGAGGAAATAATGTGTACTATTACACGTTGGATACAATGGCGCGCACGAGTTAATGAGTAAAAGGACGGAAGTAAGGATTGATGAATCTATGGATAATTGTGTGAAGTAATGAATAAATTGATGAATGATGGGTTTAATAAAGCGAAAAATACTACAGCTTATGACCCCGTCTGGTAATTCATTTGGGAGAGTTATTTTATTCAATGCATTTGGACACCATTGTTACGGCAATCTGATTATTTCATTCTCGGTTGCAATTAGTTATTTCAGCATGCCTTTTAGTCAGAGCAATACCCTTTCACGAGCTGAGTTGATTTTAATTCAAATCATGAAAATAGAGTATTACAATAAAGTTTCATTTAGCTTGATTTTCCTCCTCAATGAAAAAAAAAAAGAAAAAAAAAAAAGAAGAAATTACCACGTCGCGATCGATTCTACTTTTGACTATGATTGTTTGAGATGATGACACGAATTTTCTGGACCAAAACTAAATAGCAATCTTGATTTATTTTCGAAACTTGATTTAAAATTGCTTTATTAGGTTGCAGCAAGAGAGGATGAGGCTAAGACTGCACCCCATATGTTTCTTATTCCAAAGGTAATCGTCATCGATTTATTTTTAAACTTGAAAAATTATCTGGTGGTTCGCTGGAAATAATGTTATATGTACCTCACAGGTTGCTTTAATGGTTTGGTGGAGAAATAAGAGACGTCCATCGAAAAAAATTTATGACAAGGAATCGGAATAGGTTCTTCCTCAGGAAGAAACCAATGAGTGATGTGGAAAAAAAATACATACATGACCGGTTTGGACCAGCCAGAGTCAAAAATGGAAAGCACATGATTTCCGAAATGGTTCTGATCATTTTATTCGAAAAATGATGTCATGGAAAATAGAGGGAACTATGCAGTCTTCATTCTGATTGGTCCAAATCGGCCACTTGTTATTTTTTCTTCCTTTCCCTCTCATTGGCTGCCCTGTGGAAGAGAGCCTTCTACTAAGCACAGGATTACTTTTTTCTAGATCCACACTGGATAACTTAGAACGGGGATGCTCTGAAAATGTTCTTGGAAAAATTTTTTTACCGTTTCAGTCCAATGCTGCCGGAGGAAATCTCAAAATCCTTCGAAAAGTTTTGAAGGGAAAAAACAATTTAATTAATATTTTTTTTAGTTTCAGATCCAATCATAGTTAACAATAAATAATAATAATAAACACTTATAGAGTGCTGTGTCCACTAATTTCTCAAAGCGCTGTATAACAATGGTTAAACTATAAAATACAAAAGCTAATAGCTATTATAATGAAATTATCTAAACTACACTACTAAAAACTAGACATCATAGGCCAATTTAAATAAGTATGCCTTTAACTGCGTCTTGAACTGGTCAACAGAGATAACGCTCGCGAGTTCAAGAGGTAATTGATTGCTTAGCCGAGGAGCAACTACAGGAAAAGCTCACCATACGTCTTTAACCTAGATCAAGGCACAGCTAAAATATCTTGAGAACTAGAACGAAGTAAACGTGGACTATTATGGTGGTGTAAAAGTTCAGATAGATAAGTTGGTGCCAAGCCATTAAGGCACTTGTGCACTAAAAGCAATATTTTGTAATGTATGCGATAGTTTAACGGTGGTCAGTGAAGTTTTTACATGATAAGGAGTAATATGGTCAAACCGCTTAGTTAAAATAGTTAGTAAATGACACCTACATATCATCTTCATCAGTCTTTTGGGAAGAAACAAAGGAGATAAATCTCTAAAGAGATTGTGTTGCTGCGTCGCTGTCGGTATTACAAGATAATTTAGACTTGTCAACTGAGTTGATAATGTAAATTAGCCACCTTAAAGAATTTTTAAAGCTGAAGTTTTGAGAAATTCGAATTCAAATTGGAAAAAAAAAAAAGAATTTGTTTAAGGTATATGCGGTGATATCTTGTTTCTACAATCAAGCAATTGTCTCAAATGAATTCTAAATCGAGGGCATTGTAATGTATATATGATGGGATTCGCGCAAGAATTGACTACAACTAAAACCCGACACACCACTAAACTCAAAACTAATATCTGTTGTCCATAAACGAGAGTGACCAGCGTTCGGAAATAATACGGAGTCCAGCATATTGTAAACACTGCGCTAATTAAGAAGGACAGTTTGGTCAGTTTGCATCGGGAATGCATCAAGGCAAGTCTCGGTTTCTGGTGCATTTGACGGTCATACCAAAGTTTAAAAATTAGCTTGCCATACAGGCAACAAATGAAGCAATTGGGACCTAAAAAAAGAACAAGTACGACTATAGCGTCATAGATTCTCCCAAACCGCGCCATGACCGCGTCTTGAACGAAACCACAATCGACAATGTCGTCAGAGACGTCCATTTTCTTCAGAAATACAAAAATAGGGCTGATGACAATAAGTGTTGTAAACCAAATGATCTGAAGGATTCTGCGATTTCTTGTAATGTTATACCTTCTTATCCTAGCTCGTGCAGGTTTTAAGACGGCTCTAGATCTTTCCATTGCGATGACTGTCAGGGTGTATACAGACACCCCACAGCTCAAATAGACCACACCACCAGTGGCCTTACAGTAGAAATCATTGATTTCTGTACCAACGAAATGGAATACCAAGCTGCAGGTTAAAACCACAATTCCAAACAGTAGATCCGCTATTGCAAGGTTGAAGAGCAGTAAGTCAGAGGACTGACGGGTCAGAGTTTTCATCTTCAAGAACATAGTAACCACAAAAGAATTTCCGATGATATTCACCGGTAATAACAGCACTAGCGTGTATCTGACGAAGATTAACGTGAAGTAACTGATTTCATGGTTCATTTTTCCTTAGATTTCTGCGTTGCCCGGCGTTTTTCCGCAAGTCTGAGAAACTTGACTTTGAACTGATTTATGAGGAGTAAAATTTCTGGCTGGTTCCGGCGATTTCAAGCTGGAAAAACAATACCTTTTTATCACTTGTAGATTGTCATTAGGTATACATTACACTGTCAACATATTTGCCCACAAAGAAGTCTACTATTGTTTTTACTTACGCTGAGAGGCAACCGTTTCGACCGAGGAAACATTTAATCAAATTTTTATATTTTAGGATGTGTGAGTTGAGAGAAAAATTAAAAAAGAAAGAAAAAAAAATTGCCAAGAGAGATGCAGGGTTTTTTATAGGTCGTGGTGTTAAAAAATTATTAGAAATTTGTAAAAAAAAACGCTTAAACTGAAATATGATATTAGAAAATAATAAAAAATTTGTAAAAAAAAAAAACGCTTACACCGCAATTACGATGTCATCGATAAATGGAAAATGGGAACCTCAAACAGTGTCGAATTTTAATCAAATTTTGATATTTTAGGATGGGTGAGTTAAAAGAAAAGAAAAAAAAACAAAAACAAAAAAAAATTGCCAAAAGACTGATAATCCTTCATAATCACACTTAAAGGATGAAACTCGACCATTTGTCTTTGCTCTCTTTGGATATTTTTAGGTTGACTCTCGTTGTCCTCGCCTTAATTAATGAGATTCTTTTCCTTTGTCACAAAAAGCTGATGTATCTTGATTAATTGGAAAAGCGAGAATTAAGAAAAAAATAAAAAACTCAATCAGAAAACTCCCCCTTTTTAGACAAAGAAATAAAAAAGTAAATTGTTATTTCGTTAGGAATCTAAAAGTTGATAAATTCACTTCTAAAACAATTCTTTTACATCATGCATCACCGAGGTACATTTTAGAAGCTTGAGTCGAGTTTACATTTTACTTGATATCTCATCTCTAATGAAACATTAATTTATGACAGGAACGTCCTTTTTTCCGTCTTGTAAACAATGAAAACGGTAATTATCAAATATACTGGGCACTGGTCATCATTTTATTTCCTTAAGAAAAATTAAAAGCTAAAGTGTTGTATTTCTTCGATCTTCGCCTCTCAAAGTGAAAAAAAAAATTGAAAAAGTGATATTCACTTTCGCGTGTAATTTTCAACTGAAGCATCAGGACTGAAGTGTTTTGATTTGAAGAGGATAAAAGCTCTCTTCAAAAAGGCTATTTGCCTCTACCAAAATTATTACTCTTAATTATTTACTCAATAGTTATAACCATAATGGCAGGTGAAAATTACATCGCGCAAATTTAAGCTGTTGGGCTTAGCGGTGATAAAGCAACAGACAGACGGAGTTTATGTGCGCGGGCATCATAGGTTTTGGGTGCAACTCTGTGAATGAAAGGCTAAAACATATTTTTGTCCGAGATCATAAACTCTTTTATTATTGTTATCACTTTGGGAGGCATCGAGAAAATAAAAACTAAAAAAAAAAAAAAAAAATGACAACAAAACAGTCTGAACAATCACATTACCGCTAAAATATATTTAGCCCTACAAAACCTCCATTTTAGCCCGCAAAAGGCGCCATAATGCTTGACAAAGTGATAATGATGTATGTTTTGTGCCAAGCCTGTATAATTGATAAGAAATCTTTCAGAAATTTATAAAGGCGGATAATTTCCAGTTTTTTGCGTTCTATTGACAGAGAGTGACATAAAAGGAGATAAAGTTATTTTTGATATCTTTGAGCTGCAAATATTAATTGATATCCGGAATCTTTTCTCGCTCTGTAGACAAATAGCTGTTAAAGGAAAAATAATTTTCGAGAGAGATGCAGGGTTTTTTTATACGTCGTGATATTAGAAAATAATCAAAAATTTGTAAAAAAAGAAGAAAAAACGCCTACACCGCAATTACGATGTCATTGATAAATGGAAAATGGGAACCTCAAACAGTAGCTCTACCCCAGTAGGCTGTTTCCCTTGATTTTTTTTCGGAAATTCTCGATGCAGTCCTTGAGTCAAATCGATAATTTTCTAACTGTAAAAATTTTAATAATTTTGTTTTCTCTTGGAAAGGCTTATTCATCCCTTGTGTATCAACATTACTGAAATTTGCTCTTGTATAAAATGGATGAGATGAAACAATTAATTAGGATAATTAGCGTAAGGGCGACAGAAGTCTGGGACCGATTATTTTGTTTAAGTGACCGCGAGAGATTGAATCTAGCCGCTCCTTCCTTCAAAATGGCTTCTAATACCTAAGCAAGTATCAAGTGAGTCTCTCAAATTTCACTCAAAATCACGAAATGTAGGCAAGCTGTGACCCTCGATCCCACTGGTCAAAATCAATAGGAAACTTTGCTGAGGTGATACGACGAGAAAAATGTGAGTTTTGTGTTTTTGTTATTGGGTATTGTTAATGCCATCGATCGAGGCATTTTAATAAATCAATGTACATGTAGATGTTTTGTTTCCTAAAATGATTTCCTGTTAATGGAGGTGCTAAATATCTTGCAGTTTTTCAACAGAATGTTGCTAGGGATAGAAGGTTCTATTTTATGGATTTCTATTGCAGAAAACGAATGTTTCAATTTTAAGTATGTTTAAGCTGCACTAAATTTAGTAATGTTACATGTCTTGTTTATAATTTAAATCAAGTGCTTCCTGCCGAGCCTAACTTTGTTGTGCTTCAAACGCCCGAGGGTAATGCTCTAATTTTTTTTTTTGTTTATGCTCCAGAATTTCTGAATAACCAACGCACTTGGCCCAGATGGTGATGTACACTTTTTCCTGAGGACAAGGGCGAGAGAAAGATGAAGCTGGTCGCAAAAAGGACAAACTTCCTCTAACTGGACCATAAGAGATTATTTCAGGCTTCTCCAACAGTGACTTAGTTCACTGCACAACGTTCATCCAGCATAGAGTACAAAATATCTTGTCCACAACTACAGTGTGAACATGACAAGCAGTAACAATTTCAGTATGAGTACATTACTGCCATCCACAGCACCCTTGAGTGATTCCACAGTAAAAACAAGCAATGTCGAGAGTGGATTGGTCTTTGTAGTTTTGTCTTGTCTTTGTGCTAGCCTGTGGTCAATCTACATCACATTCTACCATTCGCGTGTAATGGGTTTCATTCTTACCAAGCTGATAAATTTCAAGTACATTAAGGATGGACAGTACTTTAAAATTGGTGAGTTTGTTAATGGACATCACGTCATTTCTTCAAATTTACCAACATGCATGCTATTTTTATGGTTGTTTTCTTAAATAAATTTTCTTTTTATACTGCTAAGATACTGTAATCAAGTCTGACAATTTCACTGTACCTTGCAAAACAAATTTTCACCTCTGGGGTCTGGTGAAAGACAACAATGGCTGTAAAGGCCAGAAATAATCACTCAGGAGTTTAAATGGGTACCAACAAACTGGTAGGGTAGCCTATTGAAACTCTTGGGTCACCTATTATGGATAGGCTTCTCCTACAGGAGGGAGTGGTAATACTCCTACAGTGAATGGCAAAAGTAGTTGACTCTTCTTCCCTTAGTGGGTGGTTGACAACCCTTTACTTGACATAATAAACAGACATTTTGTAATTTAACTCCAATAAGCTACTTGAATGTCCTCCCTTTCTCCCCAAACAATGTTGCAATAACTTAGTGACTATTTTGCTGACACCAGGAGGACATAAATGAAAGTTGTAGAAAAAATTCAAAAGTTAGTAGGGCCTATCAAGACTCTGCTATGCATTGTAGTTTTCCATGCTATGTAAATGAAAGATGAGGCCTGGATGGGTGGTTTGGTTTAAGTACAGAATCAAAAAACCTTTTAACATTTTACTACCCATGTTTTGACTGGTTAGAGTTGTACTCTGAAAGGAAAAGTGTCTCGCTGAGAATGTACCATGTTAACCTTAGTCAAACCATAAACCTTGGCCTTTCAGTTTAGAGGTTGGCAGGTTCATCTCCAAAAAGGCTCTGTTTGCTGAAACATTTTTATCACGTCTGTTGTGAAATGTTTAAGATTTTCTTTTGTTTGTTTTGTATCACCAGGCTCATTTTCCTTTTCAATATTGTCTGGGAAGATCATGTTCAGAGATGTTGTGTATGTAACTAAAGATCTCAGTTTTAGGTTGGTAAAACACTTGTTTTTTTTTAGGAAGTATAGTCATGTTTTTGTTAAATGCTTGATAGTAAAAAGTGTTTTAAAATTCCATATTGGATGGTTTGAACTCTTTTGAGCAGCTTTTTGTGTAGTTTGATAGTTGGTGTGCAATTCCTCACAAGGAAGACTGTTGTTGTTGAAAGAGACCATTATGTTTAGACAACCTGTGCAAAGTCATCATCAGACCAGGAGCAGATCCTTGAATGCTTGATAGGAGGGGTCCAATCTTTGAATAAAAACACTGTAGAGCTTTGATAAACTACTGTAAGAAATATTATAGGATTAGTAAATTTCAGATAATTTTATTCAGGGCCACTAGTAGTTTAAAAAGTCTATTTTCTAATCATAGTGGTGATTTTGATCATAGGGTTATTGATGGCATAGCAATCTTTAAGTATTGGATTACATACAAACCAGAGTTGTCAAAGAAGCCGCCTTACCAGCATGAACCATCAGAGATAGGTGAGTAAATATTAAAGACGTAAACACATCACAGGCATTTATATGATTGTGCATTATTTTATTATTGAGGGGCTCAGAGAAACATTCTTATATGACTGGTTTTCTTAGGTTTGTTCCTTCTAAGGAAAATCATTCTTAAATTTTACACTCTTGAACAACTTTTTCTAAAGAAACCCTTTTTTTTTTTGTCCAATTAATGGACCCTGCAGTTGTAGTACATTGCTTTTTCAATCAGTAACATGAATCATATTTACCTTATAAATATAATTGTCTTGCCAACAGAAGTTGCCACTAAGCAACGTCTCACAGTGTGGTTAAATGGTCTGGAGTATCATGTTTATAACAGGTGAGTCTCTGTGTGAGATTGATTTGCAAAGTGTATGGGGCTTATCCTGATTTCTGTGGCATGAACCAACAAGGGGAAGTGCTAATGCTCCTAGATATAATACAAGTTCATTGCAACTTAGAGGTTTTCCTGATAAAGTAATTTTCCAATCAATGTCAAAAGGAATTTGGGATTACTTTGGTTTTGCTTTCCTTTGCTCTGTGATTGGTCTAGAACACTTGCACCACAAGATCAGGGGCTTGTTTCTCAAAAGTCTCAGTAACATTACAGGCCCAAAAGCATATATGTGCTTTAAGATCAGAATTTAAAGAATAGAGAACCAGCTTCTGGCATCCTGACCAATCCATTTTTCCCTGCAGCTACTAGTTTTATAGTATAATATTAAAACATTTTGAAACACCCACCTTGAATGAAAACAGTGTAGCTTTACTGGCCCATTATGTCACTGGAACCTTCCAGAAATGAGCCTCTGGCCAATTCCAGACTTGCCAGTTCAGTGTATATTTTGATATGGGATGACATGGACATATCCAAGGTGAATTTCAGTGGTAGATTTACAAATTGTTCAAAACACTGGCTCAGAAGCATAATTCACGGACCAAATATTCTCACAATTAAATAATTTTGGCATTGTAGGTCTCGTTTGTACAGCAGACTGGAAGAACTCTTTAGAGTTGAAAGATATGGAGGTAAGGACTAATGTATGCATTCTGTAGTGAAGACGTTTTTCTGTTCATACTTAAATACACAAATAATAAGCATTTACTTTTAACCATCTAAGCTGTTGTCCATCCGCTTCAATGTCGTTGTCCTTATTTGTGTCATTGTCAATAATGTTATAATTTTTGCCATCAGATTTGAAGTGTGTAATTGTCTTTATTGGGTGATCTTAGTCATTGCAGATGCCAACATTATCATCTGTATCATTGACATGTAATTTCAACATGCTAAATGTTTGGTTGCAACTGTCAACTTTTAAGGTTTTTAGTTACCTTTTCCTTCAGCGTGCAGGGTAGGCGTGGTCAAATTGCTTTTTTTCATCCATTTGTAGATGCAGCTAAATCAGCCCTGAACATTTCTGTAAGCCCTACTGTTGAACCAAAGGTGGATGTAGAAAAGGGGTAAGTCTTTGGACCAGAGAATGACATAGGGTTTGTTTTGATTTAAATCAGCAGTAAATGTTTTGATAATTCTTCTTCCCTCTGTGTGAAGACTCTCTTTATAATGAGCCTCCCCCCATCTCTAAATAGCTTCCCTTTGCTCTAAACAAAAACTCTGAACTGGTAGATATTTTTAATTTTTTTTTTCCAGCTGAGGTACAGAATATGCTTTTATTTGAAAGCCTTTGTTAATTTTAGTTTGAATTTTTTTTGTTTTTTAACTAAAGAAATACATAGACCTTATGGTATTGTGATGGCATCTAATTGTGATTCAAACATACCTGTAATTTCAAAATTTTGAAGGCTTAGTTGTCTTGACTGAGTTTGGTTGGGCTGGATGGAGAGGTGATTGGCTCAAATTCCTGATATCAAGGTGTCAAGATCTTTAGGGAAATATTTTGTCATCTGATCTCCCCACTGCGCAGTCAATTAGTGCATGATAATAAGCCCCCTCCCTCTCTATATTATTTCCCCCTCTTCATCAAGGCCCCAGTCCAATATGCCCCCTACCTGGATGCCCCGAAAACTGATAAGTTCCCCTGCGGCCAACAATATCTGAACCTTTGTAGTTTACATGTAGTGAAACTCAGCCAAACACCGACAGTAAGTCTTTCTTTTTATATGAAGAGAAATGCAATCAGTCATCTAGCAATGTCTTAGGAATGTACTCATTTTTCTCTAAACATCCCTGTATCGACATTTTCAGACAAGGAGATGTTAATGGTGGATTGCCCACATGGCTTCTGGAGCTTGTTCCAGCTGTCAAGTTTGATGTCAATAGTGTAAGTGTCAGTGCTCATGTGTTGCGTACAAAAAAAAAAAGAAAAAAAAGTGTGTTCATTTGTTTGTAACAAACTAAATATGTACAAATAAGCCAGGAAGCACAAGACAGGCAAAAGAACTAGATGGTGTAGGCTTTTTGGATTCAAAGTTACTTTTTACGGTTTGTGAATTTTGGTAACACGGATTGGAGATCAGGAGATTTATCCGGCCTGTATCTTGGGGAGGCTTCTGGATAAGCTAAAGTAGAAGAGTTTGGATGAGCAGTTTGAATTTAACCTGTATGCATTTATGAGAAGCACGATTAAAACTAAATGTTTCTACCGTAGGGAAGGGTTGCCTTTGGAAATAGGTTGCTAGAGACCACTTTGTGTTTCAAGTTTGAGAGTGCCACAGGAATTTACACAACATCCCAGGTTTGCAACAAGTTAATGCATTTAAAGATCTTGATAGTGTATTTTCACGCATGCAGATTTTACCCATTTAGATTAAAAAAGTTGTTAATCTTGAACTAGTAGTCGGCAAGGTTTAGAAGGGGGTTTTGACATCGAATGTAATTTTTATTTCGATTCTTCTCTTTTGTTTTATTTCTCGTAGGCTCACTCGTCTCTAGACGAGTTTATGCATATTGTTAAGTGTCAAGGGAAAAACGTCCGAGTGATGCTTTCGCCAAGCCCATCTTACAGTGGACCGATAGATGAGTAGGTTTTTTCTCTGTCTCCTCCTTTCAATAGAACTAAAAATTGCCCACAAGATGCGCGAGGATATAAAATAATTTGATCAACACGGGGATACGTGTATTGTGTTCATATAAACTCTTTTGTTCATTGTTTTTGTTCATATTTTGGAAGGTTGCACTCTGCGAGCTCCGCCATTATTTCTCAAAAAATACACACAAATCTAAAACGTCACAACCGTGGTTATGCCACTTACTTCGCTCTCTAATCGACCAATGAGGTTACGTGCAGTATCTTGTATATTTCATAATTTACCGTCGAAGCATTGTTATAATGTGATTATTTTTTCATTACAGACCCCCTCGATATATGGGAGAAGGTTTTGTTGTCCTTCAAACTGCTGACTGTAAAATCACTTACTATCAAGATGAACCAGGTTTTTTAACTTTTGAATTTTTTATCTCTCCATTTTACACAATTGAGGTTATCATCAATACTTCTCAAAAAGTAGCCACCTCTTCCTCATGTTTCTTTTCTTGTTATGAACTTAGAAAACTCGATCGACTTTAAATACCGTAAATTTTGGTTTTTCTTGTATAGTATTGTGCAAAAGAGATGCAATCGTCTGCCGACGAAATTGGACAAAATTCCTGGCTTTTCGGTGAATTTTGGTCCGAAACAAAATTTGCGCGACATTTCGGCGAATTTTCGAGCCAGCTATTGTTTGGATTCATCCGAAATTTCGCGGATTGATTCACTGAGGACTTTCGTGGGTCTCGAAATTCCGAGAGAAAGTTCGCTCCTCCCGTAGATCCGCGGGAAACTTTTCAGAGAAACTTCCGCTTCACTTTACACGCAAAACTCGTGGTTGTTAAGGCTACCTACTTCACAACGAAACACATGGAATTTCCGCTGTGATCTAGTCTTCATGCCAACTGCAACCGTAGCAACCTTGTTATTTCCATCGTCTCGATGCGTTTCTCAATCTGATCAATTTTCCTCAATATTCATATGTACTCATGCTAACAATTTCAAAGTAAACAACGACTTGCACTGAGGGCCCTCTTAATCAAGGCCTCCATCAAGCTAAGATTTTATGATAACCATCGCCGTTGAGATTTTGTTTATAAAAATTATAATCTTTCTGGACGTTGTATTTGATACGCTTTTAGCACCTTTGTGGAAGCGGCTACCTGGTGGTTAGCACGTTTGACCCCTAACCTCTTGGCGTCTAAGAGCTAACCTCGACGCCTTAGCAAACTGCTGTTAAAAAAGCTATTTTACATCACAGGTTATGTTCCCGAGGTCAAAGCCGAAAATGAGGAAGAATTACCAGACAGCGATCCTCACTGGGGAATCGATGTTGTCTTTCTCAAGAACACCACCTTGTGCTATGGCCCTTGGGTTGATAGACAACGGTAGGAAATTGGATTTCTTGAAAGACCGCATGAGTTTTTATATGTGGAGAACGCTTGCATCCCTCGGCTGTGGCCAGGGTTTGATTCCAGTCCGAACCTTACAACGCTTGTGATCGGTTTGTAATGTCTTGTTGGTGATCCTAAGGGGTCTTTTCTAGCCTCAACAGCCTCGTCTCTTCAGAAAATCAAAATATTCCAGAGTTACTTGGTAATAGAGAACGTGCTATTGCTAAATTTGGCTACTTTTGATTTATTAATATTTTTTGCTTTACAGAGATGCATTGCAGAAGTTCTTCTACCCTTTTGACTATCAAGAGATTCAAGTCACGAAACCGCTAGTCCCTGGCCAGAGGCGAGTCCACACCGGACTGGATGTTAAATTTGACTTTGAGTGTGACTCTACACTTGATATTTTATTTTCCAAGAATAGGGTGAGTTTACACTGACTTTGGGTGTTGTTTATTGTTGGGGTAGGTTAAATGGAGCCGAGTGAGAACCCTACTTACACGTCCCAACTGCCCGTTTCATGCGCACATCTGATGTCGCAATTTTTTCTTGTCGGTTGTTTTGTTATAACTCTGTTATCAGTGTTTATTATATATCTTTGATTGGTCAATTTAGCAGGCCGTTTTTCATTGTACGCGCGCTAAATTTAAAAGTTTTTTGAATTGGACCCTTCCCCCTCTGTTGGACTCGAGATACAATAAATATCTTACTAACCTCGTTTTTTCGCTTGTACTGTAAGCCCCGCGTGTAAGCCCCGTGTGTTTTGCTCATAAATCCGAGCGGAAAAAAGATATTGGTCCGTAACTTACTGTACGAACCTCGAACTCAGTTAGTAAGAGGTGTGTGCTTCTTTTGAACAGGTCACTAAGGCTCTTCACCTGTGCGTGGGGTCTGGGTCACATGTTCGAGTATACCAGCCGTGGACTGTGAACGAGTATGGTTATACTACTTCAGTCGTGGCCAAGTTATTCCAAGTCGAAGCTACGACCAGTCTGGCCTATAGGAAGCTCATTGATGCAGACATGATGGATGTAAGAGAAATGCACTTGTAACTGTTTGCTTCCCATTTAAGCCACAGCAATTGTATTCGTTCATCGAATTAAGTACAATATATTTCCCTTTCAGCTGGCCTTCCACATGTCTTTCCCCCGCATTTGGAATCAAACACAGCACTGGTCATGTGATATCACCCTTCAGAAAGTCACATGGAGTTTCATCTTTGCGCACAAGTTCTTCTTCCAAGGTGGGGCAACAAACTTAAATTCGAGCCCTCTTTACGAGGATTACAACAATATATTTATTTTGTTATAGAGACGCGGTGGCCTAGTGGTTAGTACGCTGGACACTGAGTCGAGAGGCCCGGGTTTGAGACCTTATTGGGTCATTTTGTTGTGTTCTTGTGCAAAACACTTAAATCCCCCAGTGCCTCTCTCCATCCAGGAGTATAAATGGGTACCAGTGAATTTTTAGGGAAGCCAGATGAAATGCAAGGGGGTAACTTGCGATGGACTAGTGTCCCATGCCAGTCGCTTCATGCAATGTAAACCGGGATAAGCACTAGCCGGGTGGGCCACTTGGCTTGGGTAAAGACATACATTATTGTTGTTGTGGTTGTTGTTTTTTTTCAATGAAGCTCGGCTTCCTTCCCCACCCGTTTTTTTTTGCACTTTAAACCCAAGTTTCGCTTGGTCGTTTTTACTATCAATGGTTTTGGTTTTACAACACAATCAAGATTCGTCACCTTTTGTTTCCGCAGAGATGATCGAAGACTGGACAATGAACTACAAACCGGATCTACTGACCTTTGTGCCTTATGAGTGGTCATTTAACATCATACTGCGAGACTTTGAGATGGTTTGGTTGGGAAATCAGCACAATTGGATTGAATGCACGTCAAATAAACAAGAAAATGGTGCGTCAAATATCTTTATTTCGTCACCGATGTTTTGTTTGGAACTATCCGCTTTCATCTCCCTTGAAATTACACTAAAGCTTGTTTCTTACTTGGGAATTCTGTTTCAAGAGATTTTACAAACAGCGAACGTTTCTTGGGCTATGAGATTTCAATTGTATTTTTTCTTTTTCGTACATGCACTTTACTTTATAAAGCGCAATGAAAGTACAAGAGCATTTTGTAGATTTGTTTCATAGACATTGTTTCCTTAAAGGAAATTTTGAGAAGATCTGTTCATCATTTTTGTAAAAGCGACTCTTTTCAGATCATTCAATGGTGTTGTGAGTTATTTTGTTTTGTTTTTAGCTGAGCTGGCCTTCTGTGGTGAGGTGTTCGACTTAACATTTGTCCTCCAGTACTTCCGCTTCATACCGGAAATAGAAGAAATCAAGTTCTTTCTACAGGTAAGTTAAAAAATTTATTAATTTTATCATTTTCCATCCGGTTTTGTATTTACTGCGCCTGCTTTGCATCGTGCAGCCGTTCTATTTACTCTGTCGGCAACATGTCCTCTCTTAGGGATCCATTTGGATTCTACCTCAAGAAATCTCGTTCAAGTAATTTTTATTGTTATTGACGTCTTTTTAGCCCCCTTTTTTTGAGGTGGATTTTACTGAGGTGACGAACGCTTCTATTGATGTGGGTGGGATATTTAAATGTTCCGTAGACACATGTATGCTTTGCAAACCTATTTTTTCCTTCCCCACCCAACCATCCATCCTTCCTTTCTTTCTTTCTCTTTTACGATGGAGGTTCATGTTTTTTTATCTTAATGTCTCCTTGACGTTGAAGGTTGTTTTTAGCGTCGCCAAAAAAAAAAAAAAAAGAACTGAAAGAAAAAAGACCCCTAATCTGGACTTAATTTCTTTAATCAGTTATCAAGTCAGTTCTCACCTTCAAGTACGCTCTTAAACAGATTTCACGACTGTTTGCTTGCCAACATGTTATTTGTAGCAAAATGGGTCGGGCATTAAACTATGATATCGGAAAGTCAGAGCCAGTGCCATTCTTTATGGGGAACTCGAATTTTAATTTTTTGGCTGCGCGTTCGTGATACTAACTGGCATCTTTCTTTATTTGTGACATTCAAACCTGAGTTACGTCTTGCCTTCAATTTTTTGGTATGTTTTGGTCTTTCAGGCCGAGAAGCTGGTTGCCAGAATGTTTGTCCCGGAGTCAAACACTCTCAGACGCAGCCTGTTATCGCTGGCTCGTACCTCGGAGAAGAAACGGGAACAGGGTCTTAGATCGCGCTCATCAACTACCACGGGTAACATAGATGAGGCGGTTGAGAGTGCCGATGAACAGCCTATCACAAGCACAACTGAGGAGACCATCAGTGGAGGATGGAGGCGGCACACCGACGAAAGTCTTGGTTAGATAAGTTAGATCATTCATTGCTTAACCTGCGTGCAGGTCCTTATTATTATTAACGCTACTGGAAGTACGTTTCTCCGCCCGCGGGAAGATTAGAGACGACTCCGGGAGAGGTTTGTCAGGGGTCTGGCACTATCAGTGTAGACCTCTGGCCAGCTCGTGTTGCTCAAAGACTCGTAATTTCCCGCCGGCGAAGAAACGCTCATTGTTGAAGCGCTAATAACGAAGGCGTGCTCGCAAGCTATTCATTACTCTTTGCTGCAAAGCGTTTTTCATTTGACTGTTGATGAGACAGTTTCAGTTGAGTGTCCAAAGTTGATTGGAATTGTACCGTCTTTGCCTTAGTACTGAATCTTTGAATAAAGTAAACGAATAGTTCCATTTGATAGTTTTCTTTTTCCGATTGACTATTGCGATTACGTCACGTAATGGAAGAATGATTTAAAAGCGAAAGCAATGGAAGTGATATCAACTACGGAGACTTAGCGGAAGCCAATGCCATGAAGGTTCCTTTTTTTTGATATTCTCCTTTGTTACAGGGTGGGTGGATGTGATGTCCGTTCCCATCCTGGGGCTGTCCTTGGGGTACATGTATCATCCTATGTATCCGAGCCCCAAGTTTGAGGTACCTCGCGGGGAGGAACTTCCTTGTGACCCCACACAGTGGGAACCTGACGTCATCAGCCTGGAACTGGAAGCTGGACCAGCCGCACTCAAGGTGTTTGGCTCATTGTTGGCTATGCTCGCAGCCATTAAGGTAAGATGGTACACTTTTTTGCTCGAAACATGAGGTTTGCGACCCGCTAAGTGGCTGGAAAGGCAGGGAAAGGTCCAAGAAACAACTTTCTTTAACGGATATGTGGAATGGTTGCGCAGATATTTTTTACTTTCGACAGCGCTTCTTCCAAAAATATTTCGAGTCGTATTCGTGCGTATGATCGCAGCGGCTCGCAGGGAAAAAGAAGGAGTTTACACGCAGAGCGCTTTATCTCAGAGATCTGTCGTTGTGGCTTGTCTCTGAGTGTGTTCCAACCATACAGATATAAGCAATGCAGCAGTTTCCGTATCCTGAAACTGCTTTTGCCTCACCCTTCGCTCCCTGGATCAGAAAGGAGCGCTAGTCCATATTATTTCGTCTGTTTCTCCTGTGATGTGGGGTTACTCTACCAGAAAACTCTAGCAAGCGCTATTCCTATCCTGTAATAATCACAATGTCTTTATCATATCAGTCATCTCACTGTTTTTTTTCCCTTTTTCTTAACACAGGAGAACTACTTTGGCATTAACCAAGAGTTTAAAGAGCTCGGCATCAAGTACAATCGAGAAGAATCAGTGAGCGACACTACACTGGGCTCAGGCAGCAAGGACACAATTAACTTACTAACCTTGAGGCCGATGGAAGCTAACATCATCCTGACACTTTCTGATGTCAAGGCGGAATTAACTAAGGTTAGGCCTGTAGTGACAAGGTACAAAGTACATTTGTGGAACTTTATTTGAAGGAATCGAACAATTGAAAATTCTTTTTCTCTTTTGAAGCCCTTTTTGGTTGAGAAACATCCTTAAGACATTTTTTTCCGAAAAATGAAGCGCCTTTTTGTAACAAGAAGTCTTGGTTTAGAACTTTGTCAAGATGCATTCGCCAGCTTGTGTGGCAAAAACCAGCTTGTGTGGACAAGACATTAGTAATAGTAAAGGGAATAGTTTTCTCGGCAGAGAAATTTTTTGTCTACGTAAATGCGGCTTTATTTAATGCATTTACTATGTGTTAATTTGCAGCATTGTGGTCCCGGCGAGCCATCAAGTCCGCTTTTGCTGATGGAGAGACTGTCGTTTGAGATGCACAAGACGTACACAGAGACTCGGTTACAGTTACATCTGAGTCCTGCCACAATCGTTCTTGTTGACGGCAATGAAGTAAGACAGCCAAGTTTAGCTATGCTATCAGTACTTCAGTTTCTTTAGTATTGTCAAGTTGGTATTGTGATTTCTGATTGGTTGAGAATGCAGCGCGAGTCTTCTGGACCAATCACAACGAAGTAAGGCGAAACCTAAGCAATCCTGGTTTAATTTTGACACAAGATTGATAATTGCTCTCTACTCGACCATCAGAAGGCTGCTTTGGGCATATACTGCAAAACATCGTAGTTTCTGGATCATTTCTTTTAGATAAAATTATTGACTATTTTCTTGTTCTGATTTAACAGCGCGGTAGTGTGAACCACAATCTGTCCCAGGGTCATCTGAGTTTGTCTGGACTCCAACTCCGTGGTCACGCTATGTTCTCTAATCTGGATAGACCACCTGACTGTGAGACTTTGGAGTACGCATGGCTTGTAGAGATACAGCTGGGCATACTGTCTGGAAGGCTCACCATGCCACAGGTATCATAATATCATAAGAATCGTCTCCAAAACCGATTCTTTCTTGAGTGGATTTTTTCAAAAATCATTTTGCCATTATTTGAATTGCGCTTGAAGCCGGGTGTTTCCTTTGATAATAAATGCTTTTTTATTGATTGATGATTTTTTTTTTTTTTTTTTTTAAAGCTCCAAGCCATGGCGAACTGGGTACAAACGTTTGCCTTTCACGTCATCAACAAAGAGAACGACCTGGGACCTAGTACCCCGTATGTCCAATGCATTCACGGTAAACAACAAAATGTTTGCGAGAGAAGGCACAAGAAGCGAAAGGTGCCTAGAGACGTGGATCATAGTGTAGAGACCAACGAGGGGTCCTTGCCAAAAGGAACCTTGAAAAGATCAAAGAGCTCCCTTCAGCTGTGTATCCCTGAAAGTGACGTGAAGTATCAAATGACAAGGGTCTCTGTGGGGAACATTAATTTGTTCCTTGTTGAGACTGGGTCTGCGTGTAATCTGGAGGTATGGCGATTCTCGATTTTACCTTAAGTAAAAATTTTTTGCCTTGTCACAGTGTAGCTTATGGGTGCAAGGCTTGATTACGATCATTCGACAATATACTGCTTTCAAAGATGAAAACAATCTGGGCTGACACTATTTTCATTTACTCTTGAAAATCGAGACGTGACAAGCCCGATACCTCTCTTTACAAAAGAGTGTTTTCGACTGAGAGTCTGTGATGCAAAAACCAAAATAATCACAACAGCCAATCAGAACAACGGAAAATAAAACGAGGAACAAACGAGAACTCAAAGAAATTAACCAGTGAACCGCCCAAGACGCAGGAAAACGCGAGTGTCCAAGTTGCGATAAGTTTGTTTTGATTCTTATTGGTGGGGAAATTGGTGCGAGTCTTTTGGAACAATAAGAAGCGAAGTAAAGCAAAATCAAAGAAATCGTTGGACCCTCAATTGAAAAGTAGTCTTATCAGTTCGTTTTTCAGCAAACTGATTTTGAGAGCAGACAAACTTACACTCGCAAACAATTTACAAGTGTGCAACAGCTGGGAAGGAAATAGGGATTGGGGATTGATTTTTGGGAGTCCTTGACAAGAGAGAAAGTTTACTGTCTTTGAGAATTTGTTCTGAGTTGCTGCCAATTCTTGAAATGAAGATTGCTTAGATCGTCGATATTCCAGAAGGGAAAGTTGACATTATAATCTTAAGGATGAAAGGGCTTTTATCCCATAGATTATTAGCTTTTTGTATTCAGAAGATTAGTAACTTGGTAGTTACAGTTTCTTTTTGTCCTCTTGCAGGTTTTTCCTGTCAGACTCGCCACATGCAGTCTTCATAGTTCAGAGTCCAGCTCGGGTGTAAGTTTGTTCGTTCAAACGGTTAAACTCCGCCAGTTTGTTTGTACTCCGTGGCCAGAGAGGACGCAAGAAATTCTCGGCGACGTGCGGCGGCCATTGTCCTTGGTAGAAAATTCATCCTGGCTTCAGGCGGCTGCTGCACAACTTGGACCAATCGTTTCTGATATATCGAGCGCAACGTCTCACCCGGAACTATACCAGGAGCAAAAGGATTTCCTGGAGATGCATGATGCAAGGTTCCAGCGGCTGTGGTTTCTGTGGCAACCTCAGGAGCAGTTGCCTGGTAGAAGACGGGGTTGTTGTGGTTGTACCGGCGGTTGCAACTTTTTCGGCAAAAATTTCAATGGTCCACGATTCTTCACGGCTGATAAATTAGACGCCAGCGAAAACGACATCGGAATTGGCGGATTTGGCAGTGAGACAGGTTTCTATGACGACGGCGACATCGTGGACAGTGGTGCCAGGCCTCTTATGTATTCTCGGAGTGCCGACCTAGATGCCCTGGACTCTAATTATTTTGATCGGTCGCCCGTTGGCTCGATAGAAGCATTTACGCGCCGGCGATACCATATTTCTGGGTCAGAGGGAAGCTCTCCAAAAGCAAGAAGGGTTATCCACGCGCCCTCAAATGAGGAAGCCTACGAGGAACTCGGGATAGGTTAGTGAAAAGTGTTTTTACGTAAAAATATGTTTTCCTTGAAGTCAATGATGCGCTTATCAATATTTAAAGCCAACAATTTCGTTTTTATTAGTAGATTCTTCCAAAAGCTATGTACAGTATTAACGAATTTCGGCCGGAAATTGGTTTGCCCCAGGGCGTTTCTCGAAAGTTTCTGCAACTCCACGGGCCAAGCGATACTCAAAGATCCTAAAAATAAAGAATATTCCGCGGATGTATAATAATATAAATTTTATCGTATATTATTATCACAAATTTTTTTTGTTTCTTTAAAATAGATGACGATGTTAGCCCCATGCCCTCTCGTCTTAGCTGGTGTGAATCGATTCAGCGCGAGGAGTCCAATATTTCCAACATGCATGAAAAAATGCGCCGCATTAGGAGCACGAGTCTCCAAGGGTCAAAGCAGAGCTTGGGGCAGAGTAGGAACCAATCTACCTCCAAATCACCCCATGGCGCATTGCAGAGGACTGAGTCTCACTTCTCTCGTGGAAGCGAGGCTTCGTTTTATTCCTGTGGTAGCCTGTTGGATGAAATTGATATGAGGTAAGGAAAGTTGATATCTTCATATCATTGTTTGTTTCTAATTCATGTAAAGCATATATTTTTTGACACTAGAGAATTTCTCATGCCGAAAGATAATTTACGTATAAGGAAAAAGGCTCGTTTGTGTGAGAAGTTGAAATTGCCTTTGAGCGAGCTGAGTTTACGTGCAGATCATTATGCAGTCTGTGTTTCTGCAATTTGTTTTAAGGCAGTCTTGGAGGCGAATTTACATCTATCAAATCTGTCAAAATATTTCACCTATAAAAATTTTTTCAATGTAGATAATCTTGAAAACAGTTGTATTCAAAAAGGAAATTGTAAAATTTGATAATTCAGTAAGTGTGGTCAAGAGCCAATGTTATTCCAACGCAAATCAAATAGAATTGGTTCTATGACAAGAAGCTTGGGCCAGCTGATTTGATACGAAAAGAGCGAAAAAGGAAACAAGTATCTGTCTAACAACATAATTTTCCAACCTTCGAAAAATAACCAACCACACTACGATCCCTACAATCGAAGGGATTTGACTGAGATTCGAGTAGGTCATAAAATTGTTTTTGTTTTGTTTCGTTTTGTTTTTCTTCCTGTCAGGCCTGCTAGTTCAAGGGTAAATTCTCTCGAGTCGTTTGTATCTGCTGTAGAGGAACCAGATGACCTCATGAAGTTCGACGACGAGATGCTTTCTCCGTCTCGTTTTGTTATCACATCTCCAAGTCTGGTTTACAAATACTCACAGCATCTGGGACAATTGGAATGTTTGAACTGGAATTCACCTCTGATGATTCCAGCTGAGCAGCGACTGTTTAGCATCACAAACAACTTAAAGGTGTGGTTGATGAGTTTGAACTTTTTTCAATTAAATATCAGTCTCTTCAATGTAAAGCAGTAAAAAGTGACTCCTACAACATCCATCAACAAATCAAATGGAGGTGCAAAACTCTTAAAAACGGAGTCTTCGCATTTTCTCTCCGATCGAGGTTCGCAGTCAGCTATGAAAGCAGTTGATCTTGGGCGGTGGTGAATTGAAATTATTCCTCATAGTCTGGTACCATTGGCCCATATAGATGAAGGTCCTCGTTTCCGTTTCGTTCGTTAAAGCGGTTTTCGATTCCGTTTGGAAAGAAATCCGAGAATTGTTTGGTTTGGCTCTACGTAGGCCCTGTGCAATAAAAAAAATCACAAAACAAAAAACAAAGCAAAATAGGAAAGAAAAAGAAAAAAAAAATTTTTTCTCGATCACTCAGATACAAACCCAACACTAATTACATGCTGGTCCCTCATCTTTTCTTTCGCTTTAGTCAGTCCGCTCCTTTCATTGGAGTTCAACAGTTCTTGGCTCCCAGTGATATTCTCTTTTAATTGGGTTGGCTGTGGTTGGTTCACTTGTAAGACGCACATTCGAAAAGTAGGCTGCTCCAGTATCAGTTCCGTCGTAACTTTTACCGGATTTTCAGTAACTTTTTCCACGAGCGTCTTCTGATAGTGTACCAGATGGCCGTGCCGTAAGGCGAACACTAAACTCGAGTGCTTGCTCGCAGGCTAAACAGAAGGTCGTGACAAGAGGTCTTTCAGGCGGTGGTAGACCGCCTATAAACCTGCTTTCGATGCTTTTTCATCGAATAACATGTTACACCTGCACTATTCTGGAGGAAATTATGTTTGAGTTAAGTTGCGGCCGTGCGCTTTGTATAGAATAGTGACATTACTACTTTTCTTTAACTAGTTCCTTCAGCTGCAGATATACAGCGATGCTTTCACAAACAGCATTTTTGAATCAGCTTCTTTTTCTCTGAATATTAATTGCAACTCATGGGAACTAGGCCTCAACATGTCAACACAGATCATTCATTCAATTTGAATATTCCTCTTTTTCCCTCATTGATTCACAGTTTTGTATCCAAAATTTGCTCTTCAAAGCACACCTGTTGATTTCCGTGGTCGTTTTGTTTGTTTTTCCGTTTTTCTGTTACTTGCTTCAAAACAACAGGCGTGATTTTCCCCTTGTTTAAATCTGCTTTGCCCTTGGTAAATTTTTGTCTTGTAAAACACAGACCTAGCGCTTCTCTAAATTCGGGAATTCTAACTGCGTAGACCAGAGGATTTAAAAAACAGTTAGAATAATTTACAAAGTTTGCTATGCAATCAGTTCTCATTGGTATTGCAACCTGATACACAATGTTTACAAAGGTTGTCGTACTTAAAGGGAAACAGCAAACCATAGCGATAATCGATGCATACAGCAAGGTCTTTGTCAAGCGTTGGTTTTGTAGTGTTCTATTCGTCTGTCTAGAGGCCACGCTTTTGTTTAGGAGCTTCCTCCTAACTCCGATGTTACAGGCGCATACTATGAACTTCAAAACCAGTGCGTAGATGTTCCAAACAATGATGGCATATTTTGCTGAAAAGAAGGTTCGTGTTACGACGAAACATCCCGATGCCAAAATAGCAAGGGACCACGCTGCGAACATAGCAATGTAGTAAACACGTCTTGGTAGAATTCGGTGCTTCAGCGGTTGGTATGTGGCGGAAAATCTTTCGCACGCAATGAGAGTTGTTGAGATTAAGGACCCTTGCATGAAAGTAAAATCGACGAAAATTTTCAGTGGCTCATTAATAATCCAGGATTCGTGCCATAGCTGATAGTGGACTGCAATGATGTGCATATAAATAGGTACGGAGACAGCTCCCAAAATAAGATCTGCAAACGCCATGTTCACGACCAGAAGTAAACTTTTCTTGCGAAGCTTCTTTTTGAATGCAAAGGTACCGATCGTGAGTAAATTTCCTATGATTATCAAAACCGACATGACAGTGAAAACACTGTACCATGCTATGCCCTCCATCTTGCAAGGTAAAACCTCTGTTAAACCAGACGAGCTCTGTAGAGTCGCATTAGCTGTCGATGTGTCCTTCATTTTGAAGTTTTGGAAAATATTGATGCGGATTAAAAATGACGAGCTGGTTGAATTACAACTAAATATGAGTAGGCTTTTAACCTCTGGTTGTTTACTAAAGGCGAGTTACGGGAAATAGGGGTTTCCTTTTGTTGTCATAAAAACAATTAATCAATTCGATAAATGGTCACCAAATGCGCCTAACTCTTAAGAGACTTTTATTTGTAGCGGCGTTACTTCCGATTTATGCCATTTAATTTGAAAACTTATCCGGATATTGCTACGTTCTCACTTAGCGCGGATCAAAGGAGAAAACGAATATTACTTCTATAGAGTAGCTCTTAGCAATACGATTTATTTGGTTTCCAATTGTTGCATTCGTCTAACTGTCAGCATTCTAGAAAGATTGAAAAGTTACAGCACAGCCGAACTGACGAGTTATGGGAAATTGGGGTTTCCTTTTGTTGTCAAAAAACAATTAAACAATTTGGTAAATGGTCGCCCAATGCTAACTTTTAAGAGATTGTTATTTGTAGCGGTGTTACTTCCGATTAATGCTATTTAATTTGAAAACGTCTCCTTTTAAATTGCCACAAAAGACAGGCTGAATAATCTTAACTAAACTTATCCAGATATTGCTACGTTATCACTTAGCGCAGATGAAAAGAGAAAACGAATACTGCTATTAAAGAGTAGCTCTCAGCAATACGAATTATTTGGTTTCTAATTGTTGCATTCGTCTAACTGTCAACATTCTAAAAAGATTGAAAACTTACAGCACAGCCAAACCGACAGCAGGCACATTGCACCAAAAGCTCCTCTTAGTAAAACTCGTTGAAACTTGATTGACAGAAAACAAAACAAACGTTCCACGCTTTCGACAGAATAGAGTCAAGCTTTTAGCATCTCAAGTGCCTTAATGTGCACTATGAATGCATTGATGTGACACCTCACTATCTTTTGAAATGGGAACTGCAAAATTGGCGAATAATTGTAAGTCTCAAACCGTATGACAAAAATTTATTCCCGTTTTAGTTGAATATGAGTAAAAACTCTCTTGACCTTTCAGAAATTAAAAAAAAAAAAAATTATTTTTTATCGCTACAACTAAGCGCCTTGTCAGTTTATGCTGTAGAAACCGAGAGAAACTCTGGCTTTTATGGATGGTTAACCTTCCATTTTGTTTATTTTTTTGTATGTTGTTTTTATATTTTGGTTGTTGTTGTAGGAGACAGAACCTCAAGAAGACTTTGTCATTCCCGGAGTTCCCCAGTTTACTTACCAAGACGGCGAGAAGATCGAGTTTCCTCTGCTCGTCAAGAAAACTCAGAAGAGGACAGATCATGACGATTGGGAGGAGGAAGAAGATTCATCTTCCAGTGCCGAATCTTTATTTTCCCCCAATGTCTCAGTGAAGGCAACGAGCTCTGCACAGGAAACCCAAGGAGAGGCGAAAAACGATGATGCCAGGTTACTATGTTTAAATGTGTGGCAAGACGTAATTTTTTAGATTGAAATTTTGTGCGTCTTTCAGTCTTTCAAATCAATCCAGTCCTTTATTTGCAAATACTAGGTCACTTCAGGGAAGAGAATGAAATAAACGCTTTAATAAGCCTTGTATTCTTCAGGGCTTCAGAGTAAACTAATAGTGTGGCTAAATTGTTCGCCTGCGTGCCTCAGGTTTACTCCTCTTAATTTTCTTTATTTCCTATGGTGAATTTTCTTTTTTAGTTCTGGAGTATTAGACGTAAGTGAACGTGATTCCAATCTCAAAACTCGATGGAACTCAGCTATCAATCAACAGGACAGAACGTCGGCCAGTTCCAGCTCGGAATGCTCCCCAGATCACACTCTCAGGAAGACAAAAAAGTCACGCAACGAAGAAACTGTATTGTTACGCTTTGTTGGGGACATAAATATCCTCGTCACGCCATTGTTGTTGGAGGCTTTGCAGAGGTACGCGATAATGGCAAATACCAAAGCAGTGGGTGCTCGAAAGTCAAATGAATCGTATAGAATGCGTGGTTGATCTCTAGTTTTGAAGCTTGTGTTATGTTTTATTTCATAGGTACGTGTCCTCAATTTCTCGACAGGACAATATTTTGCATCCGGCCCTTGTTGTAGATCTGGTGCATGACAAATGTGTGGATGCCACTGAAAGCCTGTACGACAGGCGTGAGGTAGAAGCACCCTTAGGTTCGCCAACCGTAGCTCCGGTTATTGAGGAACCCAAACAAAAACAGATGGTTGTTTCGTTTTCAACTTCAAAGATCAACTTTTGTTTTCTACAAGTTGCATCTGTTGAGCACAGTGAAATTCCAGGCTCTCCGGAATGCTTCGTAGAAGAAGAAAAGTCGCCGTCGGTGTCTTTATTGGCGGGAACCGTTAGTGGCATCACGGCGGAACTTCTGTCTGTTAGGCGGAAGCCTGCAGCGGAGGAGACCGAGGTGCCGAGGAGAGATTCCAATGTGTCATACACGATTGCCCCTTCGAGCGCCAAACAAACTGCTAAAACTGTTGATCTGCAATCCTTGTCCAAAGAAGAATCTATGTTACCTTATAAGAAGGTACCGCGTCATCGGAACACCATGACAACCGGTCATGCCTCCTGTGCGCAAATTCACTTTCAATTGCGGAAGTTGTGTGACAAAGAGGACATTGAGAATTGCGTGACAACTGCGATAGCTGAAGAGTCGGCACGATGCAAGTTCCAAGTAAACAACAGCAGTTATATAAGCTTCTCAGACCCCTTTGAAACGCATAGTGTCGAGCGCGGAAAAACACTTAGTTTATTAATGCTGGAATGCGGCCTCGATAACGTTTCATTCAAAGCCGGAAGTGAGTGTGCGAGCGGAAGTGAAGTGTTGCCGAAAATAAGGGAGAAAAGGCGAGCCGCTGGCCATCAAAGTAAGGTGAACAGGCTCCCGTTTGGAGAAAAGAGCAAGGGAGGAAATATAGAAGCTCACGGGTTTAACAATCCTATGTTTGATACAGAGTTAGGTGTGGCTGGAATTCGCTCATCCCTCGCTGAACAGGAACAAGGATCAGACACGAGTTTGAGTCGAGCTAGTTCTTTGCCGTCGAGTCGTGGATCCGTCAGCAGCCGTAGCAGTGGAAATGATTCTGACAAAGAAAGCGATGCTGATGACGATGTTACCAGGCCTCTACTTCGTCCAGGAGATCGCGTCGCGGTAAAAGGAAAAGAAAATTCAGACTTGATTAAACAGGGGGAGATCGAACCGAAAGACGCAGATCTCGCGCGGCGAACGGACGTAGCCATGAATTTCACCAACATCTGGTTCAATCTGTCGTCGCCCTCTTCTTTGAAAACTGTTCCCTCAAACTATCACTTATACAATAGTCTCGTCACGACTGCAGTGCCTTTCGTGACAGCCTGGATCCCGTCTGTCACACAACTGAAGTCAACTCTCAATAAATTGGAAGAGAATCAACAACGATTTCTAAAGAGCTTGTTTGCTTGTCTGCTGGCTCAGGCGCTACCTGAGTATGGACGGATTCCCAAAGCGGTGAGTCTTAAAATGCTGTTTTCAAGAGACCAAACTGCAACTTAGCTCCCTAAAATTTCTTGAAAGTAGAATCACACAAGCATAAAATTTACGTGATTGAACTTATTAAAATTTTACGAAGCTAGAGTTACATTTGTCTAAAGGTTGCATAACAAGGCTCTTGAAAATGTGTAATTTACATGACTTAGCTCTATATATTGTGACAAAACCAGAGTCACGGAAGCCTAAAGGTTACTTTGATTTTGTTTTTAGCACACTGTAACCCGTGGTTCGACGGAGAAATCCAAATTTTTACAAGAGGACCACTCCAGCCAACTTATTTATATACTCCGAAGGCAGCTAACAGGCTCCAAACTCAACAAAATAAAACACTCGCTAGCTGAGAAAGCAAATATCCCAGAAAACGAAAACCTTGCTAAAGGAATCTTCGCCCTGGCAAGACAATGGAAGTGTTTTCTGGCGGGAACTGAGGCAGGTGAAGTCGCGTTCTACGGGTCCAGTTCACTGAAGCGTCGGGTAGTCGGACGTGGAGTACTGACTCAAAGAGACAGGGCTATTTTACTGAGGGAGGAGAGGGTGAGTAGGCAAGAAGACACGCCATTGGATTTGAACATTCCACAAGTAACAGAGACAGCAAAGGAGCGTCCGTTGTTAACTAAAGCAGACCAATCAAAATATGATGGTATGTTTTGATTCAAATTTTTGTTACACTTTACATTTATAGGGGACAGTTACATCAGCTATTGTTGTACTTAAATGTGCCATGTGTATTTTATCAAGTGTGACCAAATTCCTTTACGGGAAAGATGAACTCTCTAAAACGTGCCTCGTTCCCAACCTATGGCTTCGGTACCTGGTTGGTAGTAGCGCCCATCCAGTATCTGAGAGGCCTGGGTTCGAATCCCGTCGCAGCCTGATTTTGTGCAGGCTTCGTTTTAGTAATTGCTAAAATTGCAGTCCATATGCGAGGATTGTTTCTTTGGTTGATGGTTCTGTATCCAACTGTATTGGTTTTTTAGAGGGATCTCTAAAAGACACACCAGAGAAAATAGCAAAAGACTCTTTAGCATTGGAGCTTGAACCATTAGTTCCTGCCAAAACGTCCCCGAGGCCAGTCCACTTGGACGTACCCAGACCGAGGATAGAGGCGTCTCAGGAGTCTGAGACGGACTCGGATTCATCCCCACCAACCACTATGAGGAAGCCACCTAAAGCCACAACATTTGCGGAAGGTAGAAAGCTCGGACACAACAAGAAGTTGAGTTTATACAGTTGGCTATCATCGCCGCCCACTACCTCCCCTCCCACATCACAAACAAAGGCTAACGTCGAGGCAGGAGTGGAAACGAATACAGGAGAACAGATAAAAGGTAGAAGAAATCTTTGTTGTAGACCACAGTAAATGTTCAAAGCAGCGCTCTGGGCGCCCCTTTAGACTACTGAGACGTGGAAGGTTGCTCATTTGGTTGTACTCGGTTTTACTGTAGATGGTGTGAATGAATGAGTTTCTCTTTTTTTTCCCTTGCTTATTTAGACTTAATTTCCAAACCCTCCTCTCCTGAGGAACCCGGCCTGTTTAGCGACATGGTCAGCGTACCGACCAGCGGTAAACAGATCAAAGACGAGCGCGAGACTTTTAGGAACTTTCTGCAGGCCATAAATCTGATTCCAAGGGTTGCTGAACAACAAGATACGGCCAGCACGTTCTCTGTGAGCACTAAACTGAGGTACCTACACGTGCATTTAGTGGATGGAGGCTTTGATAACCTGGCTAAGAAAGGAAAGGGAAAAGGAAAGAACCGAGTGGAGACTGAGGATAGGAATAAGAGACGCCGCCAGGTAGGTGGCGGCAAGAATGCAATTTTGTCGTCTGCTTTTGAGCTCTTTGATTTTGAATTTTCCTTTGTCCCACGCTCTTGCCAAGACGAAAAAACATATTTCTTTATTTCTTTACTATATTTCTTTACTAAGTTTATAGTCTCTGTGGCTCAGCATCGGAGCGCGGATTCCGAAGGTCTGAGGTTCGATTCCTCAAAGGGGCTCTCATTTTTTTTTCTTTGTCTCACGCTCGTGACAAGACGAAAAAACATCTTTCTCAACATGAAATTAGATAAAATCTCTACTGGTATTTTTTTTTTGCTAATGTATATGGTGAACAACGTACTTGTAAATACAGATACAACTTTACACCAAAAATTTTGCTTCTGAGCTTAGTTTTCATTGCAAAGAACTTGCTGCTTGTATTAGTTCACCAGTTCACAGCTGGAGTAGTGGACTGCGAAATCGGAAGGTCGGAGGCTAAATTCTTCGTATGGGGCAATACAGGAGATGAGCGAAGGACATGCTCGGAGGCATCGATTTGGGTCTCCATTGAAATTGAAATTTGAAAGGAAAACTTAAGAAACAATCGCTGTCTCTCAAAATAAGCGAGTGAAAATAAAACGTTCATAGAAAAGTGTCAAAGGAAACAAAATTAGAGACTTTTTAAACACAAAGCTTATTCAGGTACGGGTATCTTGTTAATTTACCACTCTCTTATGAGCGTTACCAAACGCTGGACTTACTGGCTTTTGCTGGTAACATTTGCGAAACAACTTAGTTCTGAATGCCTGAAAGCACGCTACCTAGTCATTACAATGTTCGCACGTGCGTGGACTCCTTACCATTGTGTTGTATGGGACAATTTCCATGTCGTGGCCGCGAAAAAATGAGTAGCATCTTTCTTTATTTGCCGACTAAGCCTGATCGTATAGTTCTTCGTTATATCTATTGAATTCTTCATGCCTATATCTTTATTGCAGGAGAGAGACCCAGTATTCATCGCCAGAGACTTCGTTTTTAGGTTTCTTTGTGATGAAACTCCTCGAGATATTCTTCCCAATTGGACTCCAGTTAACAGTTTTTACTCAATGAAGGAGAACAACAAATTGACGCAGGTCAACTTTACCGTGGGATGTGGCAACATCACGCAACGTGTCAATCTCTCTTTCCTCCGTCTGGTTCTACAAGTTGTGGATATGCTCGAGTTACTGTCAAATTTTGTCTCCAAAAACAATGAATGCGAAATACCGCTGACATCTGGAGACCAAAGTTTGATGTCCCCTGAAGACCACACTGACGGGGGTCTGCCGTTGAGGTCAAAAGTGCCCCATGCAGCTGCAAGGTGTTGGAGAATAATGTACCAGGTTGTTGACCTTTATTCGTCGCTACCGCGTGAGGCCAAAACTAAGGGCTTTTTGAAGCGAAGTACCCTCGGGAGAGTATTAGGAGGTGATACATGAATCTAATATTTTAACTTGATCTTCTTTTGAGTTTACACTGTCCTTTCCATCCCTTTGCCGTTCTTACCGTCTCTCTTACGTGATCGCCACACAGAATGCATAAGACTCCGTTGATCCATTGCAGGACGCTTGTCACATGTGAGATCATTACATGGTTGAGCTCTCTGCAGTAATAACAGTAATTCAACATATTTCTTTATACCCCTTGCTAGCTGACAAAATGTCGCCAGATAAGCCACGTGATGTCAAGATCGACATCGAAGACGGTGCGATAGAAGATGGTAAAAGGCGCCGCGCCCGCAGCTCAGGGAGTCCTGAGAAAAGACGTTCAGCGGCCAGCCGCAGCACCACTGAAGCAACTACCATAACGGATCAGGAGGATGCGCAAAGTGTGATACCGCTGTCCACAGTGTTTGGTGTAGTGACCTTACCACGGGTTAAACTGCTGGCCAGTATTGGCGGGCTCATACTGGAGACAGAGCTCAGAGAAATAAGTGTGTCGTTTTGTAAGAAAGAGAAGATGGAAAAAAGCTGTGAAGGTCAGCAATTCTTTAAGTGTTTTTTTGTCTCTTGAACTTGGAAACTGTTTTATATAAATTCCTGGAAATACTATTTATACAAATAGTTGTATTTATAGTTAAACTTTAAATACTTTCTCACCCACATTCGCATAAATTCCTCCAACGTGTAATACTTCATTTTGCCGACAGTTTCAGACCATGCCGCGTCCTCCGTGACGGCTCATGTAGGAAAAACAAGAATGGATCTGAAAGAGACGTCGAAATATGCCACAGGGTACGTAAGGAGTGTCAGTTTAACATAACAGTGACTAGCATCTAATTTCATCTAACAATATCGCGTTATAAAGTTCTTTGCTACACGGTAGAGGTTTAGCACGCCGCCTATTTGGCCAGAGAGGCCCCCATTGATATCTGTGGACTTTATATATATCGTCGTTTTTCCAACCTTCTTAGGACCGTGGTGAGCTGCAATTTGTCTCGCTCTCATGCTCTCTACTCTTCCGTCACGCAATCAAGCGAGGAGAAAGGTAATGCACTGGTAACGTTGGGAGTTGTTGACATCGACATCCCTCAGCACCCCGTTGCGTTACACTCAATGATGACGCGAAGTTCACGCACTATATCGCGACACATCTCAGAGATTCAAAGTCAGAGATCTGTCATAAGGTAAACTGATTCACTAGTTGAGGCCCCTATTGGTGAGGACAGTTTTTTTTTCCTTATGATTAATTTCAGGAAGTTTGAAAATGCATTAATACATATATAAAACCTGAAGGCTATTCAAGTGGAAAAGTTGATTTAGGGATGAAATAAATAATTCAAGATGCATTTGTAAAATACATGATATACAACACGTGATTGGTCAAGAAACTATCGTGTACTGCTCTTATATACCCATAGCTGTTTAATTGATGCGGTATACTGCACTTTCTAGTGGTTCATTAGCGTAATAACCCATTCGGAATTAGGAGGAACACGAGAAAATATGGTTTCTTTAACTGAGTTGATAATATTTCTTTGTCAACTCAGTTGATGAAACAAAATGGTATTGAAATAACCCCCCTTCCCCCTCTCCCTCCCTCCCACAGACGCTGCGCCACAGTTTCTTCAGAAACGTCCCCCCCTTAAGTGCACATTGATTGCTGATTACGAGACGAGGAGGAGTTATCTAGAAAGTTTTGTGTCATTCTTCATGCATTCTGCGCTGGTTATTTCATCTATAAACTGGTAGAAAATGCGGCTACTATTGTTCAAAGAACTGAAGACATTTTGTCTCCTGTTTGTATGAAGTTATTAATCGTTTTCCTGATTGTGTTTCATAGATCAATGGCGAGTCTGGAGACTCGATCCCAGTCCCGCCTTGCTAACTCCAGGCTTTCTGGTGCGCCATCTGATTTCTCTAAGTTCGCTCAGCTTGTGTCTCCGTCATCTGTTAAGCCGTTTGCTCCATGGGATCGTGTAGACGGACCCTCCCCACTCCCCACAGTGGCTAGAATCTCTTTCACTTGCGTGTTGAAGGGTTTTTGCCTCGGAGCCTCGCTGCTGCCTTCTCTTCGAGCTGAGTACAAGGTCAGGCGGGGTCTTACGTGTCTCCAGAATTGAAAATTAGAGAAAGTCAACCGAGAATGAACTGTATTATTTCCCAGAAACAATTACCACTAGAACAATCATTCAAACATTCACTAATTTTGTGGAAATTTTTTTGTTGGAAAAGTTGGAACTTTTAAGACCTTGTAGATCGTAACGTGTCAGAGCACTTTTCGAATTGATGTCGTAAAATTGAAACAAAGTCACAGCAGCCGCTCAGAGGGAAGGTAAATCTCTCAAGGAGTCACTGAGAACCTAAAACAAGCGGACTGCCTTGAGCGCGAGAAACTCTTTTGGCAACTCTCGGCCGGTTTCAGTTATGCATGTGAATGGTTAAAAGAGTGGCGCGACTTTTCTTTTAGTCCAATCGCAAGTCGAGTTGACACAAAATCGACGCATGCTCGGATTAATATCGGCATTCGATTGAGAAGTGGTCTGTTAAAGTATTTTTGGGAAGAATAGTCAACGTGCCAGGGGAGAAATCGTTTTGACATATCGTGGAGACACGGAGAACAATGCTGAAAACATTTGTCCTTGCGAATGAAATTTTTTGTGGGACAGGTCGCAAAAAGTACAAACCGACTTAAATTTTTGCGATGATCGCAGCTGTTAAAATCATAGCCCGCACACTGAGCGGTTAATTTTGTTTCCTCGTGTATTTTATTTTACAAGTTATGGGTTGTATATAGGTTTTTACATTTTTCTCCGTAGATTGGAAGAGTGACAGGATCAGGTCGCACAGGAAAAAACAGCACTTTCAAGTTGGCCATGCCGGCTCACAATCTGAGTTTTACTTCTAAGGTAAAGCGTTTGTGAAAAATTACAAGTAAGTAAAGCATTTTATGTGCTGCGTCGGCTGGCTTTGAAACACTTGTCAGCTGAAGAAGCCACCTTTTATCTCACTAAGTTATTCTCGCAACTCTGGATCTTTTGACACTGCAGTCAAGAGTCGAGCATGCGCAAGAAGATCAATTCCAGCTGGCCGCACACCAATTTCCCGCTCAAAATTTCTGGGAAAACTTTGAATATAGGAAGAAACCGCTGTGCCGCGAAATAAGCGAAAGATCAAAACGTTCGTGAAGTCTGTTAAATAAAACAAAATAGGGAAAAAGAAAAACTCGAGACTTTTCGAACACAAAGCTTATTTAATCACTGGTAACCATGTTTATTTACCTTTCTGTTTTGAGCTTTGCCAAAAAAATTGTACGCTTTTGGAACTGTGTTCTCTCCCAAATAGCCTTTGCTAGGCTCTTGGTCAGCGGAGACAAGCTGAAAAGCAGAAAAAAGTGGCGAGATTGCCGCTGCCGTTTTAACTATATCTCAAATCTAACCTTTTTGTGTTACTCGACTGTTTTCTGTAAAGGTTCAGTCCTTGGATAATACAATCCCGCCAGCTACAGTTGTGGAACTACCCCCAGTCCACGTGGAAGGTGAACTAATTTCCAAGCCTCCTCGGCCCGTCCGAGCCAAGGAAGGTCCTTCGGAGACTGGGGAGAGTTTTCTTCGTCGTTCCACGTCTAAAAACTATCTGCACGTATCTGCGGAAATCGGTGCCTTCCAGCACAGCCTCACTACAGATCTGTTGAATCATCTTGTGTTTGTGCAGAAGAGCTTCATGAAGGTAAGTGTGTTTTAATCATGTTTGATTTTCAAATGATATTGTTTATAGTCCATGTTCAACACTAGTTTACTTACACACACTGCCAGACACACATAACTCGCACAAAACCTACTGTTAATCAAGGCACGTAACTTATTTGCACATCTATCATCTATCCATTCGCTCGGAAAGAAGGGTGAAAGCTCGAAACGTCAGCTCTGAAGCTCTCAACGGTGGCCAATTAACATCATCAACTCATTTGATGGTGCCAAATTTTCCTGTTATACTCCCCCACAGACGCAGCACCACAGTCTCTTAGAATCTAACCCGCCTCATTCATCTAAATATAACTTGCATCATAACTGCTGTAACAATTCCAATTATTTTTTAAATATACAATACCAACATCGCTCACAAAAATGAAAGAAAAATAATGATAACTGAAATAATTTCAACCATAGTGATGATAATGACAAAAAAAAATTGTAAGCTATCATTTAGATACGTTTTAGTCTAGTAAACACTACGTAATTGCATAGCTACATTAAGCATTTGGAAACTCTTTTATTATGAATCTTAAATATACTGCCTACTTTTTTCTTTTTTTTTTTTTCTCCCTTTGTGTACCATTTTTGGATGTTCCTTGATTGCCTTGTGTCAGCGTTTCTTTGGAGACAGTATCGTAACCACAGTGTTGTGTCTTGATTTTCGTTTGTTTCTTAGGAAGTGAATGATGTTCTTCAGCGAGTGTCAGGTGAGAGCCAACCTGTCCCTTTGTGGAGGACCGCTTCTACTGAAGATGTGGACACCGCAAAGGAGAAAGAAATTCCCTTGCTGTATTCATTCCGTCTTAATCTTAAGGTAATCCCGGCATGTACAAGATGTAAGATTGCTCTATTTAACTCATGGTAGTGTCGAATTTCTCTCATAATGACGTCTCTTGGGTCCCCTTCTTTTTCATTTTTGACAATTTCACCAAATTTTGTAAGCTTTTCACCGCACCATTGTTGGATAGACTTTTCCCACAGCAATCAACAGTTATCTGAGATATGATTCTTTGGCACACGAGACACACTTCTGGAGGCTTTTTTTCATCGTGTTTTTCTCTGTCAGGGAATCCAAGTGACAGCTACAACTCCTTCGTCTACCGCGGTGAGACTGGATACTGGTGTAGTGTCATTAGAGGTGTCCAACTCAGCGCCATCGTCTGGCCTCCTTCCTGGTCAGCTGAGGAGGAGTAAGTATTCAGTAAATTTTTCTTATATATAAATATATTTATATACACTTGAAATATATTTATACACAAGAGGGAATAGGTTTCTGAAGAGACTGTGGTGCTGCTTCGGTGTATAATGAGATGATTTGCTTTTACCATGATTTTGATTTATAATGTAAATTGGCCGCCCGGCGAAAAGTTTCTAAAGAGCGAATGATAAAGGGCTGACGCTTGAAACGTCAGCTTTAGAAACTCTTCACGATTATTTTTATGGGTCAGTCACAACGCGGTTAACTGATCAGCTAATTAAGCAGATGTCGGAACGAGACGTGTGCTTGGTTCTGAGTGCGGGAAAACTTACTGCTGCGCGAAATCAGACGTGGAAAACAGTTATGGAAAGGGCGGGAAAACAAACCCTAGCCTACTGCCAAAGCTACGTGCTAAGCGCGGGAAACGAGTACCCTGCATCTAGCACGGAAATTTATTGAATTATTGATCCTGTGCTTCTGTGGTGTTTTTTGTAGGTAGCAGCTATGTGAAACTGTTTGGAAAAGCGCAAGTGGACGTTAATCTCTCTTTGGGACAATTTAACAAGGTAACAATTAACAAAGATAATTTTGATAACTCAGAAGCATCCGAGTGGTAAGCTGTAGTCCTTTTTCTCCATCGACAGAGCCGCATCATAGACAACGAACTCGAATACCAGCAGTTGGCTTACTTCAAAACCAGGATTGGAGTCAGCAATTCATTTCAGGTACAGGACTCTTCGCTCAAATTTATTCCAAGTCGCGGTCTGGCGACCTAAAACCATAACATAGTTGTCAGAAATAACATGTTATTCGTAGGAACTCGCAATATAATACATCGAACTATACGCTGACCACAGCCCCACAACTGAACATGGTTCAGCTTATTACGTTACTAACGCTGCAGATTTAGGCGCCAGAGTTGTTTTCTATTACGCGTCATGGCGACCAGAAAAGGTCGGAGCCTCGAGAGTTGGCTAGTAGCCTCATCTGTAGATGAAAAATCAGCAAGTGCAACCTTCAGTTTGAACGACGATTAACAAGAATATACATTGGATCACTTTTTGTGGAATGATTGCAAGAGTAGCTTTTGAAAGTCCTATCTTGGTTACTTGGAAAAATGATGAGCCGTATCCATTTTTCATTTTTTTTTTTGCTCACAGGACAGCAGATCGTTAGCTGGCACAGAAGATAAAGAGACATTCCTGGTGACGTTGACTAAACCGTGTTTGTACGTACAGCAAGTGGCATTCGACAAAGGTGAAAACATTAAAATGATATAAGTAACCTTTACTCAGAGGTAATATTGATCGGGGAATGCCACAGAAACAATCGTTACTGAACAAGAAGCAGGGGTAAACTGATTGCAGGTTTTTTTGCGTGTGTAATTTAGTGGAGAACAGAATAATGAGATGCGATCGTTATTTCCACAGGGTATCTTAAAACATTTTTCTTTTTGTCTCGCATTTTTGCCATATTTTCACTTTTTTTTAACGTAAAAGGGGTCTGTAGTTTAGTTTCAAGGTGGTCAAGGGTTGAAACTGAAGAAATGGTACACAGGAGAGATACACTTTATATGGAATAGTATATATCTTAGTGCGCTTGTGTTTCACTGTATTCGGGCTGCAGTTTATAAAACATCTTATGTTCTTTGTTTTAGGGTTTTTTCGGTTTTGTTCTGTTCTTTTTTTACACAATAAGTAGCCAATAGTCTGTGGTACATAGCACACATAACAGTAGGTAGTGCATAATGTGTAGAACGCAAGAGATATTTTTGTATACACGTAATAAATACATCGAACGTTTGAATCTCTTTTTTTTCAGCGGTTCTTGTTTATTTGAATTATAAGAACGCTTACGAACACTGGAACGAGCAACGCCTTGCGCTGAACAAAGAGGTTGGTATAAACTTTGATTTATTCGAGACATGTTCGATTGCATGTTTGTGCTGTAATTAGAAGCCTACATAATCGTATGATAGTATTCTGTTCACGAGGCTAATTAATCTTTTGATGTGTTCAGAGTAATGCCGACAGCGTTTTCCCGCCATAATTAGCCGCAGCTGTCAGCGGCTTCTTCTGTTTTTCGCGCCACAGCTTTGTTTCTGTCCTCGTACACTCAAGTGCAGCCACTTCAGTTTTCTACGTGGCGCTCATGCGGTGTTCACGTGGCGCTCATGCGTTGTTCACATGGCGCTCACGTAGCGTTCAGGCATTGCTCACGCGGTGTTCGAATTCTTTCCTGCATGTGCTTCCTCCTTCTCAGATCTTGGTAAATTCCCGCCAAAATGTAACCATGTCCCCTCCTAATCTGTTTTCCACGTCTGGTGCTGCCTTCATTTCTTTTCCCTCGGCATATCAAATCTTTCAGGCCTTGATTCTTTTCGCACAGAATGTGAATTTTTACGTGATTGTTATGTACAGTCTTCTTGAATTTACTCTATCAATGATTCCACTCTCTTATACAGTGGCTCGAGGCGAACACCACAAGTGATGTTAGTACTGATCTTCTGATTTTTATCAACATGCACTCTGCAACTTTCCATCTTGTCCTTACACTCCCTATGAATTTTTTTCGCCAAATATTTTTGTTTCGTACTTGCAGTTCGTTATTAGTTGATATCTTTCCAGACTGACCTATTGACGAAACTGGCCTTTTCTTCATTTACTTTTGCTCTCTCAATACGTCCTATCCTTTCAATCGTTTACGACACTTACATGTACAGCCTGAGACGTCTGAGTAGAGTGTATCAAACACTTAGACATAACTTATGTTTCTGGTGTTATTTTTGCACCGCTCCATAGCATAACAAACTGGTATCCATGTCCCATTTTAACAAATGTTTTCCAGATGGTCCATAACTCACGTATTTATGTGTACATTCATTCACAGCTAGTTAGCAATACACTTTCTCATCTATTTGGTAGAAGAATCAGTTTGTCGGTGAGTTAGACAGTCAGAACAAAGTGTGTGCGATCGAGTAGTTCTTTGTAGTTAGCCAAGAATAACAAGACGTTACTTAAAATGTTTTGTAAGTACATGTAATGCAGATAGTTATTTTTTTGTTTTGTTGCTATTTTCTTACAATGTTTTAAATGCACTATCCCTAAAATGTATTTTTGTTATTTTGCGACTTGTGGATGCAAAGGTTTTTAATGTTGAAACGAGTCACGCAAACGAGTGTAACGAAGTGAGAGATTAGAACAACAATGTTGATCATATGTTTTGTCAGACAGTCAGATAACATACTGTAGGTTAAGCCTTATTTGAAAGAGTAATGCACGCTGTAATTCAGTAGGCGCATTCTGTTTTGACTGTCGATAGTCATTTGCTATTCCAATTGTTGATTTACCTTGCTCTGTGATTGGTCCAGAAACTGTGGCTGCCCTTTCGACCAATCAGATGCTAAAGTGACACCAATTGTGACTTGGTCGCACGCGTTTTCTCGCGTTTCATTCGATTTTTCATTTGCTCCTTTCGACACTCATTCGATTTGCGTTCTTCTATATTTCATCGTTCTAAACTGTTCAGGAAAAGTAGTTTTGAACGCAACAAGATGTGAGACGAAATTATTTTTTTTTTAAGTGTAGCAAACGAATTAAGGGACTTTTTCCCTCGATTCACTTCAGGTTCATTTTGCCACTCAAGCTGTGCTGGACAAACTGCCTCAGAGAGCCCCGTCTTCCCAGCTGTCGGGATCACTTTTCCTTCAACTTACTGTCGACCAACTTGGCGTTTGTATTCCCCTCTACAATGGCAATCAGGTTTGTAACCATTAATGTCGATGAGAAGAAACATTTAAGCGAAGAGTTTACGTTTTACCGAGGTAACGAGCCACGCGGGTTGTTGGATGAAGACGAGAAAAGCGCGTGAATTACGTAGATGTTCTGCCAGCTTTTCAAATGGAACCTATTCAGTTATCAGTATGCCCAATGGAGTTACGTCTTCTCTTTCCTCTTTCAGGGTATCGCTCAAGGCTTTCAAATGAGATATGCTGGTAAGTGGATCCTTGATAAGTTACAAGAGCACTCTCGTTTCTACATTAATTTGATTATTTTTTATCGTCTTGGATAATTTGCTTTAAATGATTGGTATGGAGCAAGACGCAAGAGTTAGTGTTGATAAGCGGATGACTAATGATGAAAAAGGTTTGATCAGATCGCAAATAACTGACTTGAAAATGTCTCAGTGAAGGCAATTTTGTGTTGAGTGTCGGTAGTAACTCGTTATTGCATTGGTTGTTTTACTTTGCTCTTTGATTGGTCTAGAAAACCCAACCCACTCTCTCAACCAATCATAAGAAAAAGCTACGACCAATCGCGACCTGGTTCTGCACATTTTTACGGACTCTCACTTCAAATGCACTTTTATTTCCCTTCTTGTTTACGTGTTTTTAGAACAAGAGCCTGGTCCTGCTATGGTATTAAGGGTTGAACAGATGCTACTCACGTGTTGCTCAAGCGTCTCTTTTGTTAGTAAAGGAAAGTTCAACAGCTTTTGTCTTTGGTTCGCCGACAAATTTGATACCGACACCGAGGACTGGAAACCAAACTTTGAGTCTGGGTCAACGACGCGATGTAGTAGATGTAAGGCATTTTAGGCATTTCACTTTTTGTTTCCGTTGATGACTTTGAGCTGTGCCTTGAGTCAAATGAAGGGAGCTAAACAATTTGTCTTTATTTTTGTATTTCCAGGTGTTGTTCCCGAAGGAACTTACGAACTATGCTCCAGAACACAAAGGTATCCTGTGACACCAGGTAAGAGTCCTTGCAATTGAGAGGCAGAGCCCTGAGAGGATTGGGAATGAATATGACTCGAAGCTCCGCTGCTCGTTTTCGCACTCTGCCGTCTTGTTCACGATGCTTCTTCCACCAAGCACTATTAACCCTTAGATCCCTGAGAGTGATTAGCATCTAATTTCTTCTTACAGGATCATTCCTGAAAAAAGGAAATGAGCACCAACTTGAAGGAGCTCTTGATCGTTAAACGTTCTTCTTATCGGCACCTTAGAAAATATACAGAGAGCAGTATGGAGGTTATGCATACTTATGTTGGGTGTAAAGGGTGAATGGATTAAGAAAACTGGAAACCTAACAAGACCAGCAGTGGACAGGCGTCCCCCTGGAGACAAGCAACACACCTAGACGCGTGATACTAAAAAAAAAAAAAAAAGAAATGAACGGGGGATGTCTTGACCCAAATGGGACATTAGGTTCGCAAGAGTAAAACCCTTCAACTTAAGTTGTAGCAGGTATTATAACCGTTTTTTCTTGTTCCATAACAGACATGATTAAAGCAGGGAAGTGGGTTATGTCCTTCCAGTGGCGCATGTGCGGTATCGAGTTACATTGCGACACCAACATTGGTAAGCATTTGTCATCTCTGGGACAAACGCTGACCGCTTTGGCTGGTGAGCCGGACGTGGCTAACATTGACTCGGTTACAGAACTGCAAGACAGGGACCAAACTCCGAGTACATCAGTCGGAGGCCGAGATGAGGTGGATAACATGGCAGGCATGGTGGATGGACGGAAATCTAAAAAAATCGAGAAAAATATGTGGGAACAGGCCCGCAAGGTTAATGAACTGAGGTTAGGCAGCAATCTATTTTTATTTTATTCCTTTTTTTGATTGCACCTGGTTGACGGTTGAATTTTTTTTTTAAGGAATCTGTGCCTTTGGTCTCTGTGAAAGAACTTACCGCAACAATTGAATAGGGATTTCTTTTCGCCAAATTTCAGACGAGCTTTCAATGTGGTCGCCAACTCTTTGCTACCAAGTTGTATCTTGACGACATTCAGATCAATGTCATTATCTGAGCAACTGTGCACCTACCCCTCCCCCAACCCAACATTTTCCCCAACTTGTTATAATCAGTTGACTGTTGTTTGGTTGGGGGAGGGGTAGGTTCGTAGTTGCTTAGATACTTACATTCGTTGCCTCTAAGATTGCATTCGTAACGAATAGAAATTGTAATTAAAAAACTGCAAAATGATAGAAGTTTCATTGATTTTTTTTTATGAATTTGCATAGGAGAAAAACCGACGTGGAGTCGTACGTCATGGAACGAGAAACAAAACGACTTCAGGACCTTGAAAGCGCAGTCTTTAACGAATTTCGGAAAGACGTTCGGAAGAGGCTTCGGCGAAATTCTCGGTCTGGCCGATCGACCCATTCGAAGGTTGCCGATTCAGACCGAGGCAAAACTCACGGCAGGAAAGCTCTGTCCGAGAAGGTTCGGGGATCCAGAACTCGCTCTAGAGTGCGTCGCCAAGTGAGTAGCGACCAGGAAGACGTCGAGAGCGAAATGGTGGAGATGGGGTCACCGCGGAGACCTGAGAGATTTTCTACCAGCGATGCTCCGCTGATTACCTGCGAGGACGAGTCAGAGAACTCAATTTTCGGAAGATATTCGCCATCTCTTCCCGACATCATCAACGTTGGCAACAGCGCAGCTAAGTCGATTCATGAAGACACGCTACCGTTGCGAAGCATGTTGCACCAAGAAGGAGAGGAAACAGGAGGACCCAGAGTGACTTTTAGGACCCCTAGTGAGTCGGATTACGAGAGCGGCTCGTCGCAGAAGTCATTTGCGACGCAGCATCAATCCCAACAACAGCAGACACAACAAAATCTTGATTTTGAGTTAGACGTTGCAGTAGAGATTGACAGTGGTCAGTGTGTATTTTATCCTGCTGATGAAGGGGAAAAGGACGACACTGCAGACAGCAAGTAAGTTACGTTTTCAAGTTCTATATCGCACTTATCGAAATCACCGGCGTATAAGCAGCACTCGCAGATAAGCAGCATCCCACGATTGGCAAATGAAAGTTTGGAAAAACTTGTAGCGGGCTTCATGGCTTGGATATCTCTCTTTGATTCCAGCACAGGATCAGTGGCCCGAACCTTTTTCAAGGAAATAACTTCCAACATTAGTATGACATCGAAATCAAACTATCCACCAAATAAAAGTAAAGCCCTTTTCATTTGTCAATCAGATGACTAAATCGGCCTCGAATGCGGGATAGCACCGACAGGCTTGGTTTAAATACCGGTAGTTTTTCTGATTGGCTAGGTGAATACCGCCTTTTTAAACAATCTCAAAGCCTACTGGGTAAATTTTTGAATAATTCGCGACCCTTTATCACAAAATTGCAAAGCGCAAGTCGATTTTTACTGGTCTACAGTTTAAAAATATGGATTAGCGTGCGGTTTTGGTCCAAGATGGTACTTAAATGATTCAGATACGTTGGGTGTTCACAGCAGAGTGTCTATTATTTTTCCCCAGGAATTCAGACAAACGATTCCAGTTGTATGATCCTGCACGCGGTAAATTTTCATCTCCACTGTTCCAGACTACCATTGGTCAGAAGCGACAGAAACAGAACGCACAAGAGAAACCTCAACCTGAAGATACAAAAGTACTGTTACCTGCAGTGGATGTCCGTGTCCACTACCATTCTACCATTGACTCTGAAAATGTCGGAGTCTCCGTTTCCCCGGGTTCTATAGGCGGGAGTCCACCCACGATACAAGTTCAGCCAGAGACACCCACAGACAATTCTTCTTTTATCAGTTACGCTGAATCGACTGATCAAGAAGGTCGAAGCATGGATTCTTCATTCATTAGCTCTACCCAAAACAGGAAAATCGTCAAGAGAGCTGGTCTGTATGTATGGGTGTTGTTCCAGTCACTACCTCAAGAGATGGTGTTGAAACCACGTCTGTTAAGTTTTATTGAACAAGCTCTGCAACCAATCAGCGTCCCAGGTGGAGACGAAGTGGTCGACGGAGGGGGAGGCATAGCCTCAGGTGAGGACAGCGACACGGAGGTAGAGATGGGAGGCTCTGTGGTGTCATCCTCCATGTCCGAATATTCTTCCTTTCCTGTAGATGTGGTGGTCGTGATTCGTGTACAGCCATCTGATATTCGCTTCAGCTGTCTCCCTATTTCACGTGTGGAGTGTATGCTGCGACTTCCTGCACTAGATGTCGTTTTTTCTTCCAACTCCAGTCCTAACAAGTCTCTAGTACAAACACCGTCTTCGCGACTCCTCGGCCGTGATCAATCGCGTCTTAGGACAGACCAGATGGAAAACAGCCTGCCTCCATCCTCGTTGACTTTTGACAGCGGTGGTATCAGCTTCACCGTATGCCTCTCCCGCTTTTCATTCTGCATCTTCCATCCATACGGGAAGCAGCACACAGGTCTGGGTCGCTCTCCGAGTGGTGGCTCCCCGGAGGCGGAAGACAACCTCGAAGAAAATCGTCCGCGGTTCCGTTTTGCACCGTCTCAACCCTTATCTGGTAAGAAGGACTCGCTGAGTTTGAATGTGGAATTCGTCAAGTTTAATTTGTCACGCAGAAGGGTTGGGTCTACTGGTGGCTCGACGGAAGATAAGAGTAGGACGCCATCACCTGATCTTCTGGCTGGGACGGGGACTGGATCCTCAACTGTTGTCAAGGTTTCTGGTTAGTAAAACATCACAAATAACCTTAAAACAAAATTGCTTCCTTACCCTTTTACATCAATATGTATATTCTCCATACTGTTCTCCATACATTTCCAAAAGTGCTGACATGGAGAATTTGCTCAACAATCAAGAGCTTCTTCAGCTGATGATCATTTCCTTTATTCTTGTGACCTTAATTTGTGTGATTCAGAGGTGATATTTTTTAGGCGAAATTAGATGTCTGTCACTCTGAGGGGCCAAAGGGTTTAAAGCGAGGGCTTTTTATTACTACAGCTCAGAGACATACCTTTGAATTAATTTCTCGTAAGGTATCTGTGACATTGGCTCAGCAACCTTCAACTACGACATGCGCCGTTTGAACGAGATTCTGGACTTTCCAAAAGCTTGGTACAAGGGTGGACTTGTCCAGCGGTTATTCTTAGGAAAGGAGGGATCTTACGCCACGAAGACGTCAGCGATGACATCTGAAATGAGCCCTGATGCAGTTCCAATGAATAAATCCTCCGACGAGGACAGGAGAAGGTATTTGACAAGGAGTAACGAGAAAAGCGTTATTGAAAGGATCATTTCGTTCTTAAATTATTGGTAATTGGGTGGGAGAGTGCGCCTATAATTGAAGGATATTCCCAGTAATGTTATCCAGAAAGCCCTCCAAGCACAACATTTTGTTTTGAACAATGGATTTTGAGTAATGCTTCGACCTTAAGCATTTTTATAACGCTTCGGTGAAAACCTTTAAAAAAATCTCTCCTTTTTGTTAATGATTAGAGATCTGTATCTAAAACTTTTCTTAGAAAACTTTTGTCGTACTTCGTGAATGTGGTTTTCCTGATACAATATATTTTTTTGTTGTTGTTTTGTAGATCTTTGTCCCTCAACGAGAGGGAGACCTCTGCAGCCGCTGCAACGCCGGCTAAGCTTCGAAAACATTCCCTATTTCGTTCCATGTCTGAGTCTCACGAGGAGCCGCCACCCGTCACTCCGGTAAAATCGCCCGTAAACAAACAAAGGCCAGGTCAGTCTAGGACTACTTTTACCACTCATAAAGAAGGATGTTTTTTGTTGCGTCACGAGCGCTAATCCAAGGAAAAAATTCACACCCTCCAAACTTTCGAGTTCCGACAGTCTTGTTCGCTACTACGACCTCAACCGATCACCTCATTTCTGCTGTTGGCGTAATCTGCCTCTATTAATTATCTCTTCATGATTCTTTACTTCTAACTTGTAATCCTCGAATACTGGTCTCTTGATACTCCACTACTGACCAATTCGGCGTATTCGTCTTCCACTAAAGACCACTTCATCCTCCTATCCTCCTCTGCTAACCAACTTATTTGCAACGTCTGACCAGTTTGTTTTCCTTAACGGACCTCCTTATCCACCATAACTTAACTCATGTTCCACCAATGCTGACCATAGCAGACCTCACCAACCCACTGTTGACCATTACTACCATGGACAAAGTCACTGCTTTCACTAATTCCTTTAACCTTTTGTTGTTGCTTTTGTTTATTTGTTTTTTTACAGGTCAACGGAAAATGGCGTCGTCTGGCAGTTCTTTCTTCGGTTTACTTCCTAGTTCTCCTGGTCTCTTGCGGTCAATGACAATTAGCGGAAATAGGAGCGGATTACTGAGCCCCTCTGTAACCTCGCCTCCAAACAGAAAACGGCCTTCAACCTCAGGTGGGAAACGATGAACTAATAAAATTCTTCGCGAGTGTAATTTTTCTGGTTTGTAAATTATCCAAATTGCACAATCTAATCAGTATCTATCACACACCTTGTTTCAGCTGGGATGAAAACCAAACTGCCTGAACGCCGTGGACTGAAAGTCATCGAAAGTTCATCAGAAACTGAAGTTGATGGTCCTCTGAGCCATTCATCTTCGTCCAGCCTCGCAGGGACTCGGTCCAAATGGGAGACAGTGGTTGTCGTGGCTGTTAATCTTTCTAGGTTGGACATGTCAACAAATATGGGCAGCGTGATGGGACAAACACTGTAAGAACATGTTAACTTTCCCACTTCTCTTCGCGTCTTTTCTTGTCACCCGTGATCGAAGAGTAAACGATCAAAAGTGGACCAACTCTAAGGGTCACATACAGATGGAAACATTCGGTGCCCTCGCAGGGAGAGAGCAAACGGCTGTTAAACGTCTTTAGTTTTGAGAGCCTCTTGTATTCCTTGGTTCAAAACTATTTACTTGCAGAAGTAATTCGAAACTTTTGAAACAAAGCCTGAACATTTCTTTCAATCAGCTTGATGCAATGTTGATTTCGGTCGTGAGCAGCTCAAAACACATATTCAGTGGTTGGCAAAAGTAGTTGGCATGCATCCCTCAGTGGGGGCTCCACAACCCTCCACTCAACATGATAAATATATCTAGTTTCTTAAAAGTCACCCCTCTTCTCCTAAACGATGTTGCCAGGTGGTTACCATCGTTTAACACCAAAACTAGCACCAGGTAATGTTGAAATGAAGGAGAGGGAGAGATAAAGGAGGGATAAAAAAAAAAAAAGAATCCAAAAGTATTGGAGTGTGCTAAGAGTTTTACCACTCATTGTAACCCTATGAATTTCTCCTTTCCTTTCATTTTATTATTTTTCTAAGATGGAGTACAAGTGACCTTCGTTCTCAGTGTCACATCACTCTCACAAATATGGGTCGCCGTGAGCTGAAGGGATCTGTGAGTGTTCGCCAGGCGGTGTATGAGGCACGAAGTGGTATTGTCGGCGGACATGTTGAAATACAAGAGCTCAAAATGCGAGGTAGGAAAAACACACAATCGACTCCGTTATAGAGGGCGTGCAAAGAGACCTTACCGCCCTTGCTTTTTTAATGAACACTCTGCTGTTGACACGCATGTCGACGACGTTGGTAATTACAGGTTACGTGCTTTAACAAGAATAGCAGTCAGGTTTGCCATTTAGAGAAGTCTTCAATTGCGTGTCAATAGACCAAAACCAAAGTAATGCCATCGACCAATCGATAAAGGTTTCAAAACAAGTAAAACACAAGTAATAGTAATCCTTGATTTACAAGAAAACATACAGGAAAATGGCACACTTTTGCGCTATTTCGTTGGAAGCTATCTCAGTGTTCAGTTGGCGTCAATTAACTGTAAAACGCACGAATCAGCTGGTGAAATTTTATTTTTGTAAAACACGTCAAAGTAATGAAACCAGCCGTGTTGAAAAAAGAATTAGCCATCGATGAAATTACAGTACTTCAGACAAAGTTTAGATTTCAAGTAATTTTGCACGGGAAATTACCAAAATAAATGAGAGCGCCTGTTATATCGGTGAAAAACTTCAGAGTTATCTTAAATTTTCATAGAGTGCTGGCAGATTAATTATCTTTTTTTGTATTTAGCCCAAGTCAACGAAGAGCGAGGCTGTAACCCACAGCATCTTATTCACTTGGGTCTACGGTACGCTGAGGCTCGTATTGACTACATGGGAACATGTATACTTATGGGAAACCTCTCCGCGTTCAAGACTGACCTGCGTGATGAATGGACGCTACAGGAGACAAAGAGCCCTTCCACTGGTGAGTAGGTTGTTACTTGTGAAAGAAAACCCCTCACAGGGAGTAGCAGCCAATCAAACAAGCCTCAGAGAGCTACGTTCACAAACTAGTTTCTGTGGATCAGCCTAGTTGAATGGCTTAAAGAATTGGAACTGAGTTTTCTTCGTGTTGTTATGTTCACGTGGAACGAAGAACTGACCGAATGATACTGGGTATCACTTTCCCCCCCCCCCCCCCCAAAAAAAAAATTGAATCAACAAGTTAAGGGTGGGAATCGTTTCTCTTAAAATCCAATGGCATGGTGTGGTTGGCTGAGTGAGAGTATTCCTTAATAGCATTGTTCACAATTTTTTTGTGAAAGAAATTTTCTTTGACCTGCGGATGACAATTAAGAAGAGAGATGGTCCTCGTAGATTGACTTCAATTTCGGCAGTTACAGGAAAAAAACCTGAAAAATTCAGGCTTCGACGGAATTCGAACCCGTGCCATCCAGATATTGGTTGTTGATGTTTAGAGAAAGAAGTTCCTATGAAGGTAGTTTTCTCTCGCAAGTGAAGACAAGGAAACAACTTTCAGTTATGTTATGATGAAATGTAAGTTTTGCTTGTTTTCCA